ACGCCCGAACAACTGTGCCTGCTATACAAAACGCAGGTCCGGTCATGCGTGGAGTATTGCTCGCACCTTTGGGATGGCTCCGCTAGGTACTTACTCGATGCTTTGGATAGATTGCAGCGCCGCGCAGTACGCATTATTGGCAATGGTGAAGTCACCAAGAACCTAGAAAGCCTGCAACTGCGCCGAGACGTTGCTTCGCTCAGCGTCTTCTACCGTCTCTACCATGGTGAATGCTCTGAAGAACTCTTTTCGCTTATCCCTCCATCTCCCTTCCTCCTCAGGACCACACGTGCTGGTTTGCGTTGCCACCAACTAACTGTGGCAGCGATTCCTTCGCGTACAAAGAAATTTGGCGACTCATTTCTTTGTCGTACTACCAAAAAATGGAATTGTCTCCCGGCCCATGTATTCCCTCCTTCCTATGACATGGGGTCCTTCAAGCGGGGCGTGAAGAAGCACCTTGCAGGTCGGCAAGGTGAGGTTGGCTCACTAGCCAACCTCACCTTGCCGACCTGCAAGGACCTGCAGTACCTACGTACTGTTTTCACTAGCTGTCCTCACGTTTGGACTACGCCTCCGCTTACCAACAGGTGGAGCGCAGCCATTTGCCCTCCTATACATAAAAAAAAAAAAAAATTAAAATTAGTTCCCGAAATCAAACTAGATGTCGCTACGGTACGTTCTTGATTTCTCCACGACAACCCTTACGGTTTTCTTTCATGTATAAAAGTAAATTAGTTTTCAAAAGTCAATAAACAACTCATATTCTATTTGTACTTTTTCGTATTTGTATTGATATCTAAGTTTCGAACTTTGCAAATTTCAGTTTTTTTAATATGCTAGTTAAAAGAAACATAAATTACTGTCTTTGGTCCATTCGTTTCAAAAATCAACTTTTGCTAGAGTCGCCATCTAGTGCTTTTTTAGTGCTTTCTTTTTTGTTTCTTAAAATACTTCCTAATTAACAAAGTATTATATATTTATTATTTTATTATTTTTATATATATGGATAATTATTTATATATATACTAATGTGGAGGTCTGACAATACATTTGTTTACGTGGCAGGAACGCGACCACTGTTGATTCGACAAAAGAAAGCTAAAGTTATCTAGCGGCTCATCCGCTCAAACCTTTATTGAATCTGTTATGTTGGATAGATGCGTATGATCACCGAGAATTTGAATATTGCACTAAGTCAAAACTCAATCAAATTTTTGAGTTGTCTCAGTTTAGATCTAGGGGTGCGATATATAAATATATTTTTACTACAATTTATAAAAATAATTGTTTATTTACCACAATTACTTAACATAAATGACATATATTTATTCCTATAACTTTAAATAATGTAAATCGTATAATGCACTTTATAAATCTACTGCAACGTTGCACAACTTCTAAGATTTAGTACTTTGATGTTTGGTCAGGCTTTGCCCAAGACTCTGCCCCCGAACCTGACGCCGCAAGCTCAACAGAAGCGAGCTATGGACGCGCAGCAACGACAACTAGCCGAGAAGATGGCCATGATGGCGGTCAACGACAAGACAGATGACAAGCCTAAGGTGATTATTAATAATTAGCTATCTACAATTTTTGTAATAATAATATTTTTTTAATCAAATGTTGTGTGTCTACATTTATTTTATTTATTGAATCTTATTTTGCCTAGTGTAATAGACAAATGGCGGACTTAATGCCAAATAGGCATTCTCTACCAGTCAACGAGTAGATTTAATACAAAACTTGAAGTGGCGACAGACATCACGAATGTTGATATGTAAATTAATAAAAGATAAACATTTCAATAGTTTCGGAGCCTAATCAATGCGAAAAAGAATAGGTAAACATATAAATATGTTTGTATGTTTGTCAGCCCATACAGAGACCGGTCCCTATACCAGCTAATATTGCGCCAGCGCTCAAAACTGAAGGGAAAGTGAACCCAAATGCCATGGAACAGATCCGATTGCAGGTAAGATGTGACAAGACATTTTTTTAATATATAAAACTAGCTGTTTTTCCCCGACTTCGCACGCTTTAAATTATAATAAAGGAAGTATTTAAAAAACCAACATTAGTTCCCGAAATCAAACTAGATGTCGCTACGGTACGTTCTTAATTTCTCCACGACAACCCTTCCGGTTTTCTTTCGTGTATAAAAGTAAATTAGTTTTCAAAACTCAATAAACAACTCATATTCTATTTGTACTTTTTCGTATTTGTATCGATATCTAAGTTTCGAACTTTGCGAATTTCAGTTTTTTTAATATGTTGGTTAAAAGGAACGGAAATGACTGTCTTTGGTCCATTCGTTTCCTGCAAAAAGGGGCCACCCATAAATTACGTCACACGTTAAGGGGGGAGGGAGGGGGTCGACAGAGTGTGACATTGTGTGACAAGGGGGTGGATGGGTTCTAATTTCGTGACGTCACATTTCAAAATCTATTATAATCTAAGTGTTAAAACACGAACTTTAAAATACTCGTATTACAAAAACCTTGCAAAATATGTGACATCACACTAGAACACTATTCTTACGAATGTGCTGTGTGACTAGGACGAAGGGAGGGGCAAAAAATCATGAAAATCGTGTGACGTAATTTATGGATGACCCCAAATCAACTTTTGCTAGAGTCGCCATCTAGTGGACGTGCTTTTGTTTTTTTTTTTTAATACTTCCTCATTAGACTATCATATCAAAGTGACGCTGTTGTATGAGACCGTGCTAGTACTATAGGTAAAGGCTGAAAATCAGCGCTTTTTCTCCCTGAGCAAAGGAATCGTTGAGCTTTTACCCTTTTGAATTGCTATGGCGCATACGTTAAAGTGTTTTTTTTTATTGTTGTAAAGAATTTATAATGCATGTGTGCTGATTTGTAATGCAAATAAATGAATTATCTATCTCATCATCATTAGCTTTTTATCGTCCCCACTGGGCTCAGGCCTTCTTTTTGGATGGTTAAGGAAGATGGGCCATGACCCTCCACGCTGGCCCAATGCGGATTGGAGGGTATTAACGACTGCAAACGCAGCCGGGACCAACGGCTTTACGTGCCTTCCAAAGCACGAAGTAGCTCGAGATAATATTTTTTTTTTTTCGGTCACCCATCCCTTGACCGACCCTTGCGAAAGTTGCTTAACAACAACAATCGTGGGTCGCGGCGCTTATCCTCTATGCCACCGAGCTACTTTTAATCTAATTATCTATCATTTAATATATACATATTTATATATATATATATGACGGCGGGTAGTCAGAAGGGGCTATTACGAAGCCCAAATAGATCGTCCATATCGGAGGACTATCTTAAAAATGTCTTTACTCCTCGGCGATCGGAAACAGAATGCGTGCCAAAATGGCGGCAACTTGCTTTTCGTTAACGAACTGTCAAAGTCATCGATAAAAGTATCGATGGTCACGCCCACTCTACAATCGAGTAATCGAGTAACTAGCGATTAAAAAAAAGAAACTAAATCAAACGATCTTCGTAACCATGATGGATATATACACGTGTATATATAATATTATTTTTCTGTATTTATATAGCAACTGAAACAGCAACAGGCGCAGTACCATCAGCACCAGCAACAGTTGCAACAACAGAAGCCCGAGCCGATATACGATCTGCCGATACACAACAAGCCGCAACTGACGCCGCAACAACAACAACAGATCAGGCAGCAACAACAACAGGTGGGCTACAGCGTTACTGCAAATTGTTGATCGACAACAACATTAGTGTTACGCTTTAGGGTTCGCGATAAACGCCAATAGGGATGACGACTGGGTAAAAAATTGCAATTATATTTAAATCGTCAGTTAGATAATAGAAAAATATTAGAAACGTATTTTTTTTTCTTCAATTTAACAAGAAATAGCTTAGATAACAGGCATTAAAGTTGAGGAGTGGGGGCTCGCTACGTCACAGTTGAGTAGAAAACGTATCATAACGTGACGTCATGCGAAATTTCAACTCAATGTAACGCCGTAATTTTATGATTACAAAAAAAAAATTAATAAATACATGTTTAATATTTTTAACACTCTTCCTGACGGACAAACAAACAAAAGTTAGTCGTCATCCCTATTATGGTTCACAATCCGACTTTTTTAGCACAATAAAATTACAAAAATAATCCAACTACAAAATTCACACTTCAACTTGACTATTTCACGTCACTAATAACACTTCACAACACTATTGGATCGTTCACCGCTCTAGTTATCGTTTCCGATCGCTCTTGCTTACTGAATAATGCCGGGTCGGTAGTCCACCGCGTATTTATCGGGGCCGATACCACATTTAGAATGTTCAATGAACAGTGTCAGCGCGATTCATTGGCGCACAACGCCATCTAGTAATGCGTAGACGAACCGTGACGCTGCACTCCGTAACAATAGATCAGTCAGCAACATTAACATTTGAGCAACAACATATTGTAAACGAGGAAGTATTAAAAAAAAAGAAATCACTAAGAAACCTCACTAGATGGCGACTCTGGCAAAAGTTGATTTTTACAGGAAACGAATGGACCAAAGTTCCTTTTAATTTTTAACGTTCCTTTTAACTAACATATTAAAAGTAGCAAAGTTCGAAACTTAGATATCAATACGAATACGAAAAAGTACAAATAGAATATGAGTTGTTTATTGAGTTTTGAAAATTATTTTATTTTTATATATGAAAGAATATAAAGTGTATATTAATTAATTAATACTTTCATACTTAGCACCTAAGTTTATTCACTGATTTTATATACTTGAAAAAATCTAACGCCTTTCCGAATTATAAATAAAAAATATTTGGACATATAAAACTGAACTGGCAACTACGTTTCAGTTCCAACAACAGCAGCAGCAACAACAACAACAACAGCAACAACAACAGCAGCAACAACAGCAGCAACAACAGCAGCAACAACAGCAACAGCATCAACAACAACTCCATCAGCAACAGTTGCAACAGCAACATCTGCAACAGTTGCAACAGCAACAGATGCAGGCGCGCGCGAGAGCGAGACAACCGCACGCTGGCTCCATATCCAGTAGAGACACTAGTGTATTCTCTACATCATCAGGCGAAGGGTGAGTTGCGAAGTCTACCTAGAAAATATCTACAAAATCTACTACTATTAGTAGATATTTTAGTAGATGTTTTCGACTAAATATCGAGCCAAATAAGAATATGTTTGACACAGCCATCTTGGTCCTCATTACGATTAAACTTCAGAGTGTAAGGTGTGCAAAAAAGTAACGAAATTATTTATATGTGTACTAATATATTTACATTACGCGAGGGGGGAGTTTTCGAAAATACCTACTATTATTCGAGCCAAATAAGAACAGCTGTCAAACAGCCATCTTGGTTGTCATTACGATTAATCTTCACGGTGTACGGTGTGCAAAAAAAGTAACGAAATTATTTATATGTGTACTAATATATTTACATTACGCGAGGGGGGAGTTTTCGAAAATACCTACTATTATTCGAGACAAATAAGAACAGCTGTCAAACAGCCATCTTGGTTGTCATTACGATTAAACTTCAGGGTGTACGGTGTGCAAAAAAAATAACGAAATTATTTATATACTAATATATATTTACATTACGCGAAGAGTGAGTCTTCATAAAGACCTACTATTATTTGAATAAGAACACCTGTCAAGCAGCCATCTTGGTTGTCATTAAGATTAAACTTCAGGGTGTAAGGTGTGCAAAAAAAGTAACGAAATTATTTATATACAAATATTATAAAGAGGAAAGACTTGTTTGTTTGTTTGTTTGCAAAGAATTGGCTCTAAAGCTACTGGATCTATTTTAAAAATTCTTTCACCTTACAGGAAGCTACATCATACGGTGTTGACATAGGCTTTAATTTACACGTGCTAATTCGCAGGAAAACAGCTAGTTTATTTTATATAAATCAACGGATTGTCGTATTATAACAGTAATATCATAATACGATATTCCGTTGATTACGCCATATTGGTATTTGTTTTTGAATCCTAAATCATAAAACGCAACGCGTTTAGGATGGCCTTTCATTTTTATATAATCATCAAAAAAGTAAGAGTTCAATTTCAGAAAATATACCTTATTAAAGTTAGATGAATATCTACTATAACATAATCTATACCGATATTATAAAGAGGATTGCTTCGATTGTTTGTTTGTTTGCAACGAATTGACTCCGTAACTAATAGACGTATTTTAAAAATTCTTTCACTTATGGAACTACATCATATGCGGTGGACATAAGATATATTTTATAGTGGTAACACAGCAAATAAAGTGATGAAAATGGGAGTGGAAGTTTTATATAGGGAATCAAAACGTTACCATAGTAACCATTGTTTACTATTCAATTGTAGTTATATCCGTGTCACAATATGAATATATCCGAATAAACAGTTCCATAGAGTCGCCATCTAGTGGAGGTGCTTTTTAGTGTTCTTTTTTTCTTAAATAATTCCTCATTTAATCTACTTGTTCCGATCACTCATCACTAGATAATAATATCTAATTATTAATTAAATACTAGCTGTTTTATCGTGACTTCGCTTGCGCAAATCATACCTATATCACCCGCGTCTGATGTAGCTTCTGCTGAAAGAATTTTTCAAATCGGTCCATTAGCTTCGCAACCAAACAAACAAACAAAGCGATCAAATATTTTCTCTTTATAATATTATTTAGTTTGTATGTTTGTTTTTGTGTTAGTGATCCCTGTTGGCCAGGCTCTCGCACTGAAGATCCGCGTGATCTAGACGCATTATTGCAATATATAGAAGGACCCGCGAGACACGTGGACAGAGGAAAGAAGAGGGCCAAGAAACAGAGACAGAAAGCTAAACGGGTAAGAATTGCATATAACATACTACTAGCTCTTGTCCGCGTCTTCGTCCGCGTGGTAAAGTTGCTTTGAGCAGCATTTCTAACGTATATTTATTTATTCGTTCCATTAGGTACTGATAGGTTCAAACTAATACATTTACATCCTCCATTCATCCCTTATTTTATCCCCATGGGGGTTGAATTTATCAAAATCCTATTTAAGCGGACTTCATCATACTAGTTCCAATTTTTTATTTCAGTTCAATCAGTCGAAAATCTAAGAATATTTCTTTATGATATAAATATATATATAAAGAATAATTCTTTCATGTTCCTTTATAAATAAATAAATTAAAAAAAAAAATTATACCAACTTTTATCCCATATTTTATCCCCTTAGGGGTGGAATTTATCAAAATCCTTTCTTAGGGGATGCGTACGTCATAGTAGCTTTATGCATGCAATGTCTCAGTCCGATCGGTTTAAAATTGACAAAGTTTCATACAAACTCTCATCCCCTATTTAAGGGGTAGACTTGGTAAAAATCCTTTCTTAGCGGATGCCTACGTCATAACACCTACCTGCATGCCAAATTTCAGCCCGATCCGTCCAGTGGTTTGGGCTGTGCGTTGATAGATCACGCTCTAAAAAGTTTGAAACGTGAAATTTATTTTATAGCCACAGCTTAAATTATAATGGCAATGACCAAAGGGTAGCACAGTCGTATGCCACAACAGTTTGTTTTGTTATGATCAGTGGAATAATTTAAACTTATAATAAAGGGGTCGGCCATTAATCACGTGATTATTTTTCCCAGCATTTTACACCCCTCCCCTTGGAGAGGTCCCGGGTTCGATTCCCGGTCGGGTCAATGTGGAAAATTGACTTCCATATTGTCTCTGGTCTGGACTTCCATATTGTGGTACTTTCGTTGTCTCAGATACGCAATAATGCTTGGGCTTTAGCTACTCATTCGAGATGATGTGTAATCAAAGTCAAAGTAAAAATAATATTTATTCAAATAGACTTCTTAAAAGTACGTTTGAATCGTCCAACATTTTTTCCCTACATTATTTTATCGATACATTATAAATAGAGAAGAAAAAAAAAATTGTCTTATAATGGTAACATAATAATTTAATAGTAATGGCAACAAGATAATTTTTGAGATATAATGAGTTTAGAAGGAATATCCTATCCAGTTGCTGGACCATCTTAAATACAAGCATTCTTATCTGTTATATAATCGGATACCTTATAATATGAATTATATCATTTTTAAGCGACGATATTTATTATACCTGTGTACGGATGTTATAGATATGAGTATAGGCAGTTAAAAACCGCGCTGAAGTTTGTGAGATCATTGTCTGGAGTCATATTTTTAACCGGTTATTTAAGAAAACCTTATTCCTAGTGAACCGTTTTAAAAACCTGATCAAAGGAGCTTAACCTTTTATGTAAAGTTCCGCATGTACTTACGTCGAACCGGTTCAAAAAAATAAACCGGTTTTCAAGCCCTGCCCTGTATAACTAAAATATTGACACACACACAGACACACACACACACACATACACACACATACACACACATACACACACATACACACACATACACACACACACACACACAATTGATTTAACTATTAATTAAGATAAAAACTTAACTGAAAAATTTAATATGGTAAATAATAATTTTGTTCTGTTAACGCAAATTATTATTAGAAATGATAATATGTGTAATATAGTAGAATAAGGAACATAACATTATTTGCTACCTGGAGGTGGCCGCTAATGGTTGCACTTCAGGTTTCCTTTTTAAACTACCGCGACTATTATCGTACACTATGCTTTTGTTAAACTGTTTTGTTTCAATAATAGTTATTTAAGATACGAGTGCGGAAAGTAAGGTTTTACGATTCATTGACACGAATTGGAAAAACCTTTTACGCTCAAGTTTCTTACAACATTTTTCAATGCTTTTTGCGAGGAAATAAAACAAATATATAGGTTATTTTCAAAAGTAAGGAAATAAAAGAATTATGTAGGTTAATAAAACTAAGTATGTATTAAAGGTAAAAATTATTTGTTAAAATTAAACGTGATATTTGAACATGTTTTCGTGTCATACATTTTTATTTGAAAATATTCGTTCTAGGCTCCTTGAAATACTTTTGCCTCTAAAGTTTGACATATTTTCATCAATTTTCTTTTCGGCCAAAAAAAAATACTTTTAAGCACGTGTGCAGTAAAGGATTTCAGTACGTTTTTATTTAACACGTGTTCAAAGACTCACTTTCGGTGTTTGCAATGGATTAAAAAAATAGCGCTTTATGAGCAACTGCATTGAAAATACAATATTTTTTTTTTCATTGACATAGACGGAGGCGCGTCTGTTGGAGGCGCGCGCCTCTATAGCGAGCGGTTTGTCGCGCGCGCGCGGTGACGTCACGGCCGCGCGCGCCGCCCACCACGCGGCCGCCGCGCGGCTGCAGCACGCGCGCGCCGCACACAAACCGCCCACCAAACGGAACGGTAACTATGCATCGTGTGTCGGCCCTGTATGGTCACCCATCCCGTGACCGACCATTGCGAGAGTTGCTTAACAACTACGATCGCGTGCCGCGGCGTATATACACTACGCCTAGTCACATTACCGAGCTGCGCACAAACCGCCCACCAAACAGAACGGTAACTATGCATCGTGTGTCGGCCCTGTATGGTCACCCATCCCGTGACCGACCATTGCGAAAGTTGGTTAACAAGAACGATCGCGGATGATACAAAAATATTGAATACTTTTTTTTGCTTCAATCTTACAATAAAATGTTTAGATAACAGGCATTACAGTAACGCTGCGGCCCGCCGTCTTAGTCGTTAAGCAACTTTAGCAAGGGTCGGTCACGGGATGGGTGACCAAAAAATTATTATTTTGAGCTACTCCGTACTTTGGATGGCACTTTAAGCCGTTGGTCCCTGCTGCATTTGCAGTCGTCAATACCCTCCCATCCACATTGGGCCAGCGTGGAGGGTCATGGCCCATCCTCTTTAACCATCCATAAGGAAGGCCTGAGCCCCTGCAGTGGGGACGTAAAAGGGCTGGTGATGATGATTCTCTTATTTTTGATATATTTTTTCCTACATTCAGTACATTGTATGTTATAGGTAAAAAACAGAAATTGAACCCCGCACAACAGGCCAAAGTACAAATGGCAGCAGAACAGTTGGGCGAGCTGACCGCTATCGCCAATGCCACGGCTAAGGTATGTTACCTTTATTAGTCACTAGCTTACCGCCGGCGGCTTCACCCGCGTGGTCTTGTATTATACATAAAAACCTTCCTTTTGAATCACCCTATCTATGAAAAAAAAACCGCATCAAAATCCGTTGCGCAGTTTCAAAGATTTAAGCATACATACGGATAAAGGGACAGAGGAAGCGGCTGTGTTCTATACTATTTAGTTATTATCAGAAAAAAGTAATATATATATATTGGGTTGGCACAAAAGTAATGAGACACACTAGAAAAATCTATAACATTTCCTTTTTAAAATCAATTTTTTCGATAATATTATAGAACATTCTAGGTACTTCTGGTGTAGGGTATATAAAGCCGCGCTCGCGATTTGTTTAGTCAGTTTGAAGAAAAATGGACGAGCGACAAGTTCGAACACTATACTTATACGAGTACTTGTTAGGCCACAGTGCGCGGGCTGCGGCTGACAATATCAATAATGCATTAGGCGCTGGAAGTACAAGCTATGCGACGGTGTCCCGAGGGTTTGACCGTTTTAAATCAGGAGACGGGAGCCTTGAAAGTCAGCTACGCTCAGGGCGACCACCCGCAGTGAATGATGACGATTTGCGCCGCGAACTGCAGTTGAATCCGGATGCTACCACTCGTGAATTAGCGGAACTTAAATGCAGTCACCACGCCGTGGAACACCATCTGCATGAGCTTGGTTATCGAAAAGTTTTGACTCGGTGGGTACCGCACATCCTTACAGACGCCAGTCGTGCAATCCGTGTCGCTATCTGTCAGTCACTTTTGCTGCGACCTCGACGTAAAGAGTTTTTGTCAGATCTGGTTACTGGAGATGAATCATGGATTTATTACGAGAACGATACACGTCGTGCTTTTTGGCTGCCTCGAGAAGAAACGCCACCAACTCAACCGAAGCCGAGTCAAAAGAACCGCCGAAAAATTCTGCTTTGCTGTTTCTGGGATGCGCAAGGCATACTGTTTTATGAGCTATTACACAATGAAACTATAAACGCTGACAAATATTCAACCCAGCTTACCAAATTATCTGCCGCTATCAAGAAAAAACGACGAAGACGAGTCATTGTAGTTTTACTGCACGATAACGCTCGACCTCACGTCGCATCTGTGGTTCGCCGGCAGTTGGAGAACTTGGGCTGGGAGACGATACCCCACCCACCTTATTCCCCAGACCTCGCCCCATCAGACTATCATTTGTTTAGAGCCCTGAAACAGCATTTGCGGGGTAAACAATTTAATGATTTCTCTGACGTAGAGGCGGAGTTGAACAACTTTTTCGAGGCACAGCCATCAGAGTTCTGGGCAAAATGCATCCAAACTTTGCCGGATCGTTGGCAAGAAGTCTTAGATACTAATGGTAATTACATCATTGACTAAACTTTTTTTATTGTAATAATAATAAAAAAGTAAAAACTTTAACCAAGTGTCTCATTACTTTTGTGCCAACCCGATATATATATTTTTCGTTCTTTTCGTCCTTTTTTTTTCGTCCTTTCGGATTATGAATTATGCAAAAAGTACACAATCTTTTGTTTTTTCGCTGAAACAAACATGTCAACAAAATAATTTACTTCTTATCCAGTGAAAGCATATTTTGTTTCGTTATAAAGAAGAAAAATACTGTTTCGATTTTGAAAAAAAATTAAATGGGACCGAAAAAGAAGCTTCATAATATTCATATAAATTCATAATTAATCGCGTAACAAACACGCACAAAAGAAAAAGGACCATACAGTAGATTTGAAAACATGCTCCTTTTTACCCGACTGCGCGACGCAAAGGAGGGTAATGTGTTTATCAATCTATGTATGTATTATATGTTCTTTCTATGTGGCGTTCTAGAGACCAAATGCGTAGGCCGATTTTTATGATTCTTATGTCAATCGATTCGTCTTAACCTTGCGAGTGTCACTTGCAAATTTTAAAGCAGAACAAAACGACTCCCAGTCGGGGCCCCTTGGGAAGATTTGATTGGTAAAATTTGAATGGGCCCCGACTGTGAGTCGTTTTTTTCTGCATTAGAATTTATGATTTGTTTTATGTGTGTATCGATTATAAAACTATTTCAATTGTGTAGTTATTTAGTATAAATTAACAGAATTCTAAACTAATGGGCTTGTTTCTTTCTATTTAGTTTTTATTTAAACTAATTTTTTCATGTATTTTTTAAAATTCGTTTTTACGCAGTTGTGTTTCTTGTTTTTATATATTTTTTATTTGAAGTTTTAATAAAAAGGTAAGATTTTGTGCTTCGTTTATTTGTAACTCCTCCATTAGCTTGCTCACAAGCATAAAATCAGAGGTCCTAAAAAAACTTTTATTACTACATTTATGTTTGGTTGTTTTTTCCTAGTAGAGTGACACATTATCCATTCACTCAAATTAAAAAAAAGAAGATTAACTATTTTAATAAGTTCTGAAACTTTTCAAAGATTTAAATACGGCGTGATATAGGATATGATTTATGCGGACAGAGTCGCGGGAAATAAAGTAAAATAATTGATTAATTTTAGTCAACATCACATATCGCACGTTGAGAATGACAATGTCATTAACCAAAAAACGACTTATTTTTTACTTTTGGCAACATTTTTCTTTGTTAAGTATAAACTTTAAAATGCAAAGATCCCTGTGAACGTACCTTGCATAAAAACTGCTAGGTGGCGTAGTGATGATACGTTGTTTTGAGGGGCGGATTACAATTTCTTAAACTTTAAACGCTCATTACTGAAAATCGCATTTTTTGCATTGTGTCACTATCGTTCTCAGCGTACGATATGTTTCTCATATCAAAAATTATGGAGCTTTTGTCTTCATTCCTACTGTACATTAATCAATAGCTTTATTTTTATTGTTTTATTTTTCAGCAGTATGTATTGCACGTGTTATTTTTTAACGCAGGAAGTGTCAGCCGCTGAGAAACAAGTGACCGAGTGGACTCAACGTCTGCAAGAGTGCGAGAGACAGTTGGCGGAAGCGAGAGCGCTGCAAGGGAAGCCGCATGTACAAGTCAGTATATAAATAACACTACCCGCTAAAGTAGGGTTGCCACCTTTTGCGAAACAAAATTTGGGACATTCGAACGGTCATTGGACTTTTACAGAGCGACCGCCTAACTCTAACCTTGATTCTATCTATAGTTGCGTATTTATTTTGCTAAGTTTCAGTATGCTCTTTATGGATGTCAGTTCGTAAAAAATTCATTCGCTGTAAACATGTAAATCACACATACGATATTGTAAATTATATAAATTTAAATATAAAAATTGTATTAATGAAGTTTTTGTGATAAAAATAAAATTATAAATTATATAATATAATAAAAGTATGTCCTGAAACTTGGACGATCCAAGTTTTTATTAAAAAACCCAAAATGGGGATTTCTTTTCTTTACCATTTATACCACGAATAAATCTATTCTCAAGCTAGTCAGCCTTATTGTATTTGTCAATAAATTTGTTCATATTCTTTTAAAATTAAATGTTTTATTATTATTTATATATTTAAGCAAACATTTTGGTTTATTTTTCTTTTCGAAATAGCTTTGTTTGTTTATATCAGACATTTCTTAACTTTTATCGTAATTTTTATAATTCAGTAAACTTAAAGAACCAAAAACATTAATATATTTATATATATTTAAACCTATTTTAAAATTACACATGATTTATATTTAAACATATTTTAAAGTTACACATTATTTTCAGTTACAAGTAGACCAATCGGTACATCAACAACAGACCGCCGAGTACAAACAACATCAGTTGTACCAACAACAGTTGCAACAGCAACAACAACAACAGTTGCAACAGCAGCAACAACAACAGTTGCAACAACAACAGTTGCAACAGCAACAACAACAGTTGCATCAACAACAGATGCAACAACAACAAATGGAGAGACAACGTCAGCAACAGATTGAATTGCAGAAGCAAGGCGCTACATTTATGGGTGAGAGACTTACACACGTTTTCACTAACCCAGAACAAGGCATAGCTTAACTAGGAATTACTTAATATTAAGAATAAACCTATAACGTTATGTAATGCCTTACTAAGCACTTGCTTAGTTATGCAAATTTTATCTCTGATTTTGCATACTTCAGTTCTTCTTTTTTTAATGTATGGCATATTTGCATTTACACAATTCCGCCAATGTCACCTAAGTGGTGCTTACACGTAAATAGATAATAACAAAAATATATATTTTGAGGTAATAAAACAAGAAAAATTATACGTGGTCCGTAGTTTGACAATGATTTTGCATGCTTCAGTTCCTTTTCAGTTTTTTAATGTGTATTTATGTATTTTTTTTGGTTAGAAAGGTGAGTTAATCGAGAACATTCTTAGCTATGGATGAAGATCGAAGAGTTTAGAAGTCACAGATACAAAGACAAAGTAACGTAACGGAGCCTTAATTTACAAATGCCCATAGAACGGCCCCCCTCATTGCAATGACAATTTCATTTATCAAGCTTCTATTTCTATTTTTAAGATTAATTATATATTCTTTAAGTTTTTTTTATTATTATTATTAGATGCGGGCGGTGGTATGGTATGCGTGAGACGGACCGGTTCCGGTAACGCGGTCACCGTATCAATGCCGGCCGGCACGAGGCCCGCTCTATCCGGTAATTATTTATAACCAGCTCTTATTCTATGAATTCGCCCGCTTCAATTATATCCGCTAGCGGGTTCGCCCGCCTGGTTTCTGGGGAACTGTTTATTTGGATATCGCTTCATATCACGACACGCATATAATTACAATGATAAATTGAATAGTGAACAATGGTTACTGTGGTAACGTTTTGATTCCACATACAAACTTCCATTGCCATTTTCATCACTTTATTTGCTGTTTTTTCAGTATAAAATATATTCTATGTACACCGCATACGATATAGCTTCATGTAGGTAAAAGAATTATTGATATCTGTCCAGTGCGACTTCGTTCGCGTCGTAAAGTTACTTTGAGCAGCGTTTCTAACGAATATTTATTCATTATATCGTAAAATTGTCATCAATAATGCTTCGTTTCTTTATAAGACACGTCTGATCGAAAAATTCGCGATTAATCGAAAATCGGTCGTTTAATGCACGATTTAATCGAGAATCGATATGAATCGATTCAGAGATCGATTTTTTTCAAGTGAATTGACATGCCTAGTATGTGTGTTTAATCCTTGTACATATACAGCCGTTTTGTGTGCGTGACATGAGGTACAGACAAATACAAATACAGTTATTAATAAATTAATACAGTAAGCTGTAACTATTATAAATACGGGTTACTTTTTGTCTGGTGTATTTAATATACTATTACCGATAATCACACTTATGTTACGATGACGATACTTTTGAGTAGCTCGGTGGCGTAGTGGATCGTTGTTGTTAAGCAACTTTCGCAACGGTCGGTCACGGGATGGGTGACCAAAAAATTATTATCTCGAGCTACTCCGTGCTTCGGAAGGCGCGTTAAACAGTTGTTCCCGGCTGCATTTGCAGTCGTTTATAACCGCCAATCCGCATTGGGCCAGCGTGGAGGGTCATGGCCCATCCTGCTTAACCATCCATAAGGAAGGCCTGAGCCCCGGCAGTGGGGACGTAAAAGGGCTGATGATACTGAATAGTGTTTTTAATGACAAATGCTTATAAAATCCACTTCGTCCCCGGCACTCTGAGATGGTACCCGAACCCGTGACCTAACGCAAACCGTGCCAGGGACAAAGTCGTTTTTTAAGCATTTTTCATAAAAAAAACGATTATTATGTTTAATTTTCATAAAATACTTTTTAATTTCGTAAATATTAGTATTCGCTGGGTGCGAAGTAGGTGGTGGGAGAACACGGATCGATCGCAGCGCGTACCGTGGCCAAAACGGAAACTGTCGGACGAAATGTCACTTTTTTTTAAGAAATTTGGCCATATTTAACTGAAAATACACAAAAACTCTGCATTATTAATGTCACCACAGTTATAAAAGATCGTCTGCAATATGAAATGCGTTATTCGATTATATTTGTTTATTTATTTTCCGTAAAGTCAGCCATAAAAAAACTCATGTATATTACCTGAAATTTACTGATTGTGGCATTTTAGACTGAAAATAAAAAAGATCAATGGTATTAACGACACCTTAGGTTTAGATAATCGAATAAAATCTCGGTAAATTACGCTATTTTAATAAAATCATTGTTTACTTACTATTCGTACTAAATGCCAACCATTTGACATTTCAATGTCCGACATAATTGTAACCGCTAGTTGGCGCTACCATCGTGCACCTAGCGAATAGCCTTAGAATAGCGAATAGCCTTAGAATAAAATTAGCTTAATTAGTGGCAGTTTCATATATTACGTATAACTGTTTTTGTTTTATTGGTTGTTTAGTACTACTTTCTTTATCGACATACATCTTGCTTCCTACTTTCTGTCTGGTTGACTGGTAGAGAATAGGGATGACGACTGGGTAAAAAAAATGCAATTCTATTTAGTCCGTCAGTCAGATAATAGAAAATATTAGATACGTATTTTTTTTTACTTCAAATTAACAAAAAATAGCTTAGATAACAGGCATTAAAGTTGAGGAGTGGGGGCTCGCTACGTCACAGTTGAGTAGAAAACGTACCAGTTTAGTAGAAAGAGTACCAAATAAAAAAATACGTGTTTAATATTTTTTAACACTCTACCTGACGGACAAACAAACAAAAATTAGTAATCATCCCTATACCCTTGGCATTAAATCAGTCGTTTGCTATTCTACGAAATAAAGATTGTATAAATAATATGTTACTTGTTTACAGTACTGAATGTATGCGAAGAACAACAACCAGTGAAACAAACTGATAATAATCAGCGGAAACAGACGTGGGAACAGGCTCTGGCACATATCAATCAGCTAGCGAAGGGGACCAAAGAGAAGGTAACATGGAAACTAGCATTCATCATGCCAGGCTTATAGTCCAAGAGCTCGTCACTATAATATGCAAGAGCTTTCTAAAGCTTTATTTTATTCAATGATCTTTTTTAATAAAAAAAAAAAAAGTTTAAAAACTAAAACCCGACTACAGCAAAATCACGTTCTATACTTTATTTAATGATTAAAATCACAAAAATGGTTTTTTTATTAAAAAAAATAAGTTCAAAAACTAAAACCCGACTACAGTAAAAATCACGATCTGAAAAGCTTTGAAACGAAAAATGTAATTTTAAGTGATAGCTATATTATAATAGAGGGCCATAGGAGTCGTATGAGCAAAAGTTATCTATATATATTATATATTTAAAATGTGCTAATTAAGCCCTTTCATTTGATACCCTACATGGAATGATTGAAAAATATAATTTTTAGTTTCTTACTTTTTGCTCTAGAGGGCGCTGTTGCCAATTTAATGTAACGTCACATAGCCTCCTCATTTGATAACCAGTTACGATGAGTAGTTTCAAAGTTTACATACACACATACGTACCGGCCAAAACATAACCCTTGTTTTCGCTTCGTCGTAGTCTGATAAAAAACTGAACCTAATATTATCTTTAATCTTTAAATAAATAATAATAGGCTACTTGACTCATATCTAATTTTGTACAATAAATGTGTTTTTCCTATAGTATTTTTCTTGGGAAAACAAATTATATCAATTTTAATCATTTACAGGGCAAGATTAATTTAAAAATTAAATTAAGGTTTTGTATTTTTTTTTTTTAATTTAATACGCCGAAAACGGTGTCGGCCATGATATGACGTCATATATATTGTAAATAAATAAACGTCAACGTGACTTGTACGTGGGATTTAGCGTTGAATGGTTAGAGATGCAATGTCGTAAAAATAAAAATCAATGTATCGATTTAACTATTAAAAACATCGATGTTACGATTTTACATATAAAAACATAGTTTATAAAAACACCGACCTGAAAACACCCATGCGTTGCATTGTTGCGTTTATTATTTTTAGTTCCGTGGGCATATTATTATTCAAAAAATTGGGGTTGCCATATTTTTTAAAATAATATTATGCCCACGGAACTAAATATAACAAATATATATGTGTAAATAATTCGACCTATTGTGATACGTGTGCGTCCTATTGAGATATTGAAAAAACCGGGTAGTTTTTGCGTTTTACTATTGTTTTGATATTTATGTGTAAATAAATATCACACCCATAAAGCAGCTACCAAAAATATAATATAACTCATCCATTTTTAAGTCAGAAAGTGTATTATTTTTGCAATTTTTTATAAAACACTTTGAAATAGAGATTAAGTCAAGTTAAATAAGAAATTTCAAATAGATGATGGGTTTTTTTTTAAACATTGAGTTAATTGTTTTTTTAATGTAAATTTACATACAAAATACTGTTTAAAAATGAATTCTGAAAATTATATTTTCAAAAGAGAACCCCAGCGAAATCTGTATTTTGTCATATAATTACTAAATAAAATATATTTCAAATTATTTAATTACTATTTTTTTCAAATGGTTGTTTGTCTTCTCTATTTTGTCAGACATTCATTAAGGCGCCTATTAGACTACCCAATCTATCGGGCACGATATATCGGCCGCGATTTAGGGTGGTTGGTGTCGTTGTGATTACACTGCACTAGATCGCCTCCCTAACTCAGTTGGCATGCAAACGTGGCGTTGAAAGGATGACTCCTTCGCTCACAAAGTACCAAAAAATTGGCATAGCCCATACTTTAACTGCGGGCGTAAATAATAAAACAAAATGTTGGGTGAAAAATATTTGCTTCTAAATGACAATTATGTAGTTTGAACTACTACAGAATGAGTTCTGCACAATTTGATCATATATTAAACACAGTCATACCTTATATAGCGCAAAACAGCGGTTAGCTGTTCTGTAACCCTAAAATTTTTAGCAACGGGAAATGCATATCATGACTTAAAGTATAAATACTCAATAAGTTCATTGTTTCCATAGGTAATTTTAAATAATGTTACATAATTAAGTTAGTCTCACTATGGACCCTATCGGGCACAAAAATAATATAAAGTTTATTATAGCATTAGTTTTTATTATTGTAATTTATATAAAATTTATAATTGTACCAGACACATGCAAAGGCTATCTAGAAATGTTTAAAACATTATATCATATTGATATATATATATATATATATATATATATATATATATATATATATATATATATATATATATATATATATATAAGAAAAAGTAATAATATTAAATTACACTTAATATTATTTCTTTTCCTTTTGAGAAGACATTTTTGTCTGTTCGCAAATTTTGTCGTTCACTGACGTCTCACACGCACGCTGCGCAACAACCGACTGAGCGCTCTAACACCCTAACAGCGATCACATTACCCGATAAATCGGCCCTAACTCTCATCGGGCGATCGGGCGCCCACGTTCACCCGATATCGGGACCCTAACTCTCTAACTGCGATTAGACTACCCAATTTACAGTGTACCCGATGGATCGTGCCCGGTAGATTGGGTAGTGTAATAGGCGCCTAACTTATAATATAACATCGATTTATACATCAATGTTTTGTTACTTTCCGCATCGATGTTAAATATCGATTATTTACAAACATCAATTTGTGTATCGTGACATACATCTAAGCGTGGTGTTTACTTTCAGATCAATTTTTAATTTTAAATGAACAAGAAAAGCTTTTAACCAACGTGAAAAGTTTTTGTTTTTACCTTTTTATTGATTAAGTAAGTGACTAACATGGAAGTTGGATTTGTAAAAGCAGAAAGCACAAATTTGCCCAGAATAGACTCATTGATGATTGGTAATTTTTTTGCCATGAATCCAGATTTCTGTTCCGCCGAGCTAAGGAATATCAAGACTACTATGTAAGTGTAACTGTATATATAAAAAAGTAGATAAAAGTACTTTTTTAAACTTTACAGAAATTTCAGAAATGATTCAAATCTAACAAGCTCTGTTATCAATTATAACTTAATTCCTATTATATTTCTTCTTACAGATCTGCAAGAGAGTCCTATGGCGATGATGCCGTAGGATACGTCCAACTCAAACGAATTAGTAATATTTGTACATTAAAATGTAAAATATGCCCTGAACATAAAGTTCACTCCAAGCAATACACAGTATCAGTGATAATAGATGAAGAAGAAGAAAAGGTAATGAGCGCTGTCTGTGAAGATTGCCCTGCAGCTGCAGGTGGATGCAAACATGCTATTGCATTTTTATTTTGGTTGCATCGTCGCAGTGAAGAGCCTGCTTGTACATCAGTTGAATGTTACTGGAAAAAATCGAATCTTTCGAAAGTTGGATCTTCATTAAAAATATTAATGGTAAAAGACATGTGCAAACGAAAATATCAGGATCCTGTACCAAACATGAGTGTATTAACAGAATTTATAGATGAATGTAAGAAGAAAAAAATTGAAACTTGTCAATTTTTAAAGCATACTGGAAATTATATAGAAATTAAAGTACTATTATCATTGCATCAATTGCTATGCTAATACAATGATCCTGATTGCAAAAGCTTCTTGAGAAAGGTCAAATTTCTGTTCAACAATGAAAACATAAAACATGCAGAAATGAATACCAGAAATCAGTACAAAAGTAATTTATGGTTTGAACTTCGTTATGGGAGAGTAACAGCATCTAAGTGCTATGAAATCAGCCGTTGCAAAACATTTGATGGTTCTTTGGTTGCATTGATTTTTGGTGCAAGAGCAGTGCAGACACCAATGATAAAACGTGGCCAAATTTTAGAAGATAGAGTAAGAGCAGTTGCAGAAGAAAAATTAGGCATAAAATTTAGAAAATGTGGCCTATTCATCTCCAATGAATACCCCATGATTGCTGGGTCACCAGATGGTATAAATAAACGAAAAAGTCTTATAGAAATTAAATGCCCATCTACAGACAAACATTTTAAAAATTATATAAAAGATGGTAATTTAAGTAAAAAATGCTTAGCTCAAGTACAAATTCAAATGTTTTGTGCAAAAGTCAAACTTACATATTTTTGTGTGGCCAGTAGTGATTTTGAAAATACAAAAAAGGTGACAATATTACCTGTTACATATAATGATAAATATGTAAGAGAATTAATTGTACACTTAGTATCATTTTGGGAAGTCAACATATTTCCTAAGTTATATGAAAGTGTTACTGTGTAAAGTAAAATAAAATGCATTTTATACTGGTATGATATTTTATTTAATAAGTGCATCTTGCATATTTATTAAAGCACAGGCTGTAATTACGCAGAAATCTAATATATGTAATAAATTCAAATTTACAACTGAGTGTGGTTTAAGTATTGAAAACTCTCGAATTCTCCTGATTACTCTTTCTACATGGATCCGCAGACTAGCGATTTCCTTTGTTTGTTTTGCCTCACTTTTGGTCAATTTTGTTCCTATACTAACACTCGGAGGTCTTAACAAAGTAAAGCCTCTTTTTTTTAAATACATTTCAATATTTTTAAAACCTCTATCTGCTAAAATAAAAGAACTTGGTTCCAAAGTATCCAGAAATTTACTATGCTCAAGTAAATTGATGTCACTGATTCTCCCTCCATATCCACTGGACACAAAGCTAACTAAACCATCAGGAGTACAAGATATGAGGTATTTACAGGTATTTGCTTTTTTGTATTCTGACCAAGTCAGTGCCTGGTGAATAGCCTTTTTTGGTTTTTGTATTTCTATCTCCAGGCAATCTATGATACAATTAATTTTGTTATATTTATGCCGAAAGGCTATAGGCAGATTTTTTTTTATTGTACTTTTTGTAAAAGTTTTAATGAAAGGAGATAGTACACTGACAATTGAAGACATTTTTTTGTAAAATATTTTACTTGCTTGAGACAGTGAAATATCAAAATCATCAGCTAACTGTGAAAATGTTCTATTTAATCTTATTTTCATTAAACATAATAAAATATGATTTTCTGATAGTTTGGTGTGTTTTGAAATTATAGTTATAATGAAATACAGTTCTGCTGGTATTCCAATGTACAGTCTCGGATTTTTCTTAATCTTATATAGGGTGCTCTGTAAATTTAATTTTTCATCTTTAACAATATTTTCCTGTAAACTGTCTACAGTAGTATGACTTGATGGTTTTGATGGAGATGAATCAATTGATGAGCCCCCATGGGATAATGTAAATGATGCATCACTGTCATATCTTTCCTCAGTAAAAACTAATCTTCTTTTTGAAAGTGATTGACCAGATATGGAGGGATTGTAACTCTTTCCTGGTTTAATTGGAGATGTTGCACTTGTCTGGTAAGAAATTGATTCAATCGGTGAAGATATGGCATCTTTCACAGTTACACTGAACTGCACCTGTTTACTTCTATAATGTTTTGATACATTAGTTTGAATCACTTTATGAGCATAAAATGGTGTCATTTGACAAGATACATGTTCATATATTGGCTGTACTTGTACTGCCTGATCACAGAACTGAGCATTATGCTGTAATACTTGCACTGCTTTTTCTTGGTATCTCTCAGAAGAGGGACATGAAGGTATAACATCCTCCTTATTAAGTAACTCTGAAACAAAAAAAAATATTATTTGAATGATTTTACATTCCACTTGGTCAGGGTATTTCATAACATCATAAAATACTTAAATATACTAGATCTAGATTAACTTTTTAAGTACCTATTTTTTATAAAATAAATTGCATTGCATTGTGTAAGCAAAACACATTCTAATATAATAATCCACTTTTTGTTTTATTATGCATACTTATTTCACACACCTTGATCAAATGATGACGTTGATATATTGATTTTAGATTTCTTGTAAGCATCCTCTTGCTGGTCTGGTGCAGGGCTATTTTTGCGTTTTTTAATCTGGGCAACGAATCTGGAGGGTTTACAACCTGGTTTCATTTTAATTCTTTTAACGGAGCCCATTATTTTATATTGAATATAATTCTCCATGTCATTTTCTAACTAAAAAGTTAATAAAAAGAAATTTATTGTATTAAATACTAAATAACCTAAAAAATTATTACTAAACTGACTATTATATAGTTTCTATACGTTACTGAGTAATACTCACATCAAAGTGATCTTCGCAAAAATAAATTTGAGTCACACTCGATAAAGATTCGGGATCCCTTTGAGCAAGACTTAGCCAAGTGTTGCGTATATTTGTTTCACCAGGCACTTTGATCCACAATTTCCCTGGGGTCTTTATCGAAGTGTTTTTGCATTCTCGGACAATGCAATAACGATAATTAGTATATTTCTTATGTAAACTTGTAGAAGCCATGTTTTTAATTTAAACTTTGTGAGCTTATGTTTGTTAACTAACGTCAGAATTTGTTTACAATATGAGTGACGTCAGAACATAGACAATCTGTAGACTAACATGGCGGAGAGCGTTTTTGCTGGTCGAACAAAATTGAAATTTAAAATTATATTTTTTCAGTTTTTTAGGTGTCGAAAAAATGTTGTAATATTTTTAATGGTTTAGTACATCAAATATTAACCGTTTAAAACGTACTTTAAAAAAGAGTCAAGTAGCCTATTGTTCTAAAAGCGAATTATTTAAAAAATGATATTGAAGTAGGGAGCTGTCATTTAATTAATAATAACCCACAAATAAACGAAAGCACTAAATAAGCACCTCCACTAGATGGCGACTCTATCAAAAGTTAATTTTTACAGGAAACGAATGGACCAAAGACAGTCATTTCCGTTCCTTTTAACAAACATATTAAAAAAACTGAAATTCGCAAAGTTCGAAAATATCGATACAAATACGAAAAAGTACAAATAGAATATGAGTTGTTTATTGAGTTTTGAAAACTAATTTACTTTTATACATGAAAGAAAACCGAAAGGGTTGTCATGGAGAAATCAAGAACGTACCGTAGCGACATCTAGTTTGATTTCGGGAACTAATGTTTTTTTTTTTAAATACTTCCTCTTTACAGTTTTCTATATAAGTCGTTTTTTATTATTATTCTTAACTACTTGCAATTTTGTCATTGTACTATCTAACTGAAATCCAATATTATTATATATCTGTCACCATTCATGTGTTAGGAAGATAGCACTAATAATACACTTCAGGTAGATCAGTGTTACCTAACCTTTACAATGTCACTACCCCTGTGAACAAGTATGGGAATCGAGTTTACCCCTAGCTAATTTAAAATAATTCACGGTCAGTTGCACAAACGTCCATTAAGTCTAATGAATGTCAAATGTGTATGGGTAATGTAGCTTTAAATTAATGACAATTTTAATGGGGGTTTGTGCAACTAGCTTTCAATCACACAAATTCGAACAAAAATATCTTTATTAGGTAAGAAATTGCACGTTTAGGCAACTAGTAATATAAATCTCGGATTTAACTAGAATAAAGGTTGATATTGCTTTATGTTAGACTAGTGGACGCCCGCGACTTCGTCCGCGTGGAAGTCGGTATCCCGTGGGAGTGAGAAGTTTTCCCAGTAAAAAGTACCCTATGTGTTATTCTGATGTATAACCTATATTGCTGTAAAGTTTTATCCAAATCCGTCCAGTAGTTTTTTCGTGAAAGAGTAACAAACATCCATACATCCATACTTACAAACTTTCGCCTTTATAATATTAATAGGATTTGGTTTCACTCAACACGCATCTCATGTCATGCTCCACATTCAGACAGTTTCTGGCTTTTGTTTTTAATGCAACAAGAGTCGACTAGCTACCGTACTATTATTTTGTTAATTATTTTAATACGTTTTCGTGCCAACTCTGTTACCACCCCTAGAATTGCGGTTTTACCCCCTGTGGGGGTAATTACCCCCAGGTTAGGAAACACTGAGGTAGACGGTACAAGGCAAAATGCAAGAGTTGAGATTCTATCGAGATGTGATTATAATGTGTACTTACTATTTTGCTCTACCGGAACTACTTTACTAACTTTCTTACATAATTATACTTAATAAGTCATGAAATTGCACAAAACCAAAAATTTACGTCGTAATAAACGTAGATGATTCTTAAAATTATAAGATTTTTTTGTCTGTGCGTCACGTGACTTGAAACACGACGCGCCATTGTGTGACGTCACTGTGGCGACAGCTGTCAAATTAGTCATAAAGATATTCCCATTAATTATAAATCAAATTCCTAGATGGCGCTGTTCTTAGCTTATTTATTTATATCTTTTTATTTCATAATCGATCGTTAGATGGCATTGTTCTTGTTTTATTCATATCTTTTAATCTTCTACTCTGTTTTGTGTATATACGAGGGTCACAACTGAACGTGCATAGAAAATCAGAGACTGATTACATTAGCCAGTTATTAGTTTTATTATATCTTTTCAAAATATTGTCCATTCACGTCAATACACCGCTGCATGCGATGGAACCACTGGGAAAAGCACTTTGCCCACTCGTCCTTAGGGGTCTCTTCAATGGCATCGCGATACGCAGCCACCGCTTCTTCAGCATTCATAAACCGCTTTCCTTTAAGTTTTTCTTCAATTTTTGGAAATAAATAAAAATCACAAGGCGCGAGGTCGGGGCTATACGGCGGGTGACCCAGTAATTCAACGTTTGATGTCGCCAAATAGTCGATCGTTCGCTTGGCGGTGTGCGACGAGGCGTTGTCGTGGTGAAGGAGGATCCTACTGCGAGGTCGTTTCTCTCGAACTTTTTCCAAGACAAGTGGCAAACAATTGGTAGTGTACCATTCTGCCGAAACATGTTATTTGATCCTCTGCCGCAATTGTTGCAAAATGACCTATCCTTCCAAAGAACGAGGCCGCCATTTTTTTTCCCGCACTTCGATCTCTCTTCACTTTAGTTGGCAACTCCTCGAAAGGAAACACCCACTGAGCAGATTGTCTTTTGGTTTTAGGATCATAACAGTAAATCCAGCTTTCGTCACCTGTTAGTATGTCGAACACAGCATTTGAGTCACCTCCGTTAAATCTTTCAATCATTTTACGACACCAATCCACACGATGGAGTTTTTGAGCCTCAGTCAAATTATGAGGTATCCACCGGGCGCAAAGCTTCCTGACCGCTAAATGTTCATGGAGGATTTTGTGCACTTGACTCATACCGATGCCTAAGCTTGTCCGAATCTGTTGATAGGTCACTCTTTTGTCAGTCTCTATCATACGCCGCACAACACAGATGTTATCTTCAGTCGTCGCCGTAGAAGGCCGTCCCTCACGTAAATCATCAGTGAGATTAGTGCGACCACGTTTAAACTCATTAAACCAGTTGTAAACAGTCGCACGAGATGGGGCTTCATCGTGAAAGGCCAATCGTAGTCTATCATAACTTTCTTGTTGACTTAAATGACATCGAAAGTCATAAAAAATCATTGCACGAAAATTTTCTCGTGTTAAATTCATGATGACGTGACACAGACAATTTTCAATTTGCCGCCAAATCGTAAAACAAATGACAAATGAATGAAATATATACTCAGTAATATTGGCAAAGAGTTATATTTTCAAATTTTAGAATTATTTTTTTATTATATTGTTTATAAGTGGCCAGTTCTAAGAACTTTCAGTTTGACCCTCGTATCACAATGACTGCATGAATATCATAGCGTTTTTGGGTACAAGTATTATTTATTAGTTACAAGTATTATTTCAAACGGAGAAGAAACTTTTATTGTCAAGATAAACATATATGACTTTCCTTTCCTCCAGCAGAAGAAACAAAAAGAAGCACAGCAACCGAAGCAGAAGCAACAAGAGGAAGCCGAGCGAGAGAATCCTCCATTGTCTAAGAAGCAACGGAAACTGCTCGCAAAACAACAGGTCAGTTGTATTATGCGTCTTTACAAGGTTTTGACTCGCCTTAGTAAATCGGTGGCGTAGTGGATATATATTGATCAATATTGTTAAGCAACATTCGCAAGGGTCGGCCACGGGATGGGTGGCCGAAACATTATTATCTCTATTTACTCCGTGGTAAGCCGTTGGTCCCTGCTGCGTTTGCAGTCGTTAATATCCTCCATCCTCCTCAACCATCCATAAGGAAGGTGTCTATGCAATGGAACGTAGAAGGGCTGATAATGGTCATTTAATTTACCATGTTAGTATTGATTAATTAGTTAGCTGAAGTTTTGTATGCGAGCAAATAAGAATAGAACTGTCTAACAGCCATTTTGGTTGATAATTGCGCTTCAACTTAACGGTGTAAGGTGTGCAAAAAAAGCCACGGAAATATATATTTTTTTCTTATAAATCAATGCATTATTTAGCTATAAAGGAAAGACCAATAAATGAATTTATTTTATTATTGATTTAGTCGTGGCAAAATTAATAATCCAAAAATATATGTATCTAATTAAACGAACCCAAAAAATATTTATCAAACTTATTTTTGTCGTCTGCAGCAAAATACTCTCTTTTTTTTATATGGAACTGATTTAAAAATTTAAAAAAATGAGAAATAATATTTATCTTTAAAGCGACTTCAAGTTTAGAAACCGCTATTGAAGTCTGGAGAAGGTTTTCTTTAGATTATTAAATGAAAACCGCATGACTTCAATAAAAAAATTACGTTTTATTTTGAATAAATGCAAAATACGCTATTTGTTTTATCTCTGATATAAACATGTCATCTAAATATTTTGGTGATAGTTGGTGAAAGGCTTATTTTGTTCTGTTATAAAAAGTATTAATTCGATTTCAATAAAATTTATAAGGGACTAAATCAATCCCCACGGGTTGTGTAATAAAAAAAAAAATAAAAGAAACTTATTTGGATAGCAGATATTTTCTATCTAATTTCCAATGCAAAAGCAAATCTTTGCTTTTTTACAATATGAGTAATATTTCAATAATTCTTTATATTATCTTTGTCAGGCTGAAGAAGAAGAGAGAAAGAAGCAGCAGCAAGAAGCGAAACTGAAGAAGTCCGAAGCGAAGAAACAGGAGCCGGTGAAAGTTGAAACGAAGAAGGTCGAGAAGAAGCAGGAACCGAAGAAGGCGGAGCCGGTCAAAAAGAAAGAGGAGAAGAAAGAAAAGAAACAGGACAAAGAGAAGAAGGGGAAGGAGAACAAACAGGAGAAGAATGGTTGGTGGAATTGCTTAATTCTTATTATTTCATTAGGGTTCCGTATCTGGTTCGATGTCTGTCTGTCTGTCTGTCTGTCTGTTACCAGGCCGTATCTCGTGAACCGTGAAAGCTGAACAGTCGAAAATTTCACAGATAATATATTTATATTGCCGCTTCAATAACAAATACTAAAAACCAGAAGAAATATTTAAGGAGGCTCCCATACAAGAAAAGTGTTTTTTTTTTCTGCTTGTTTTCAATAACCTTCGCTCATCTACTTAAATAAAAGTCCAGTCTAACCTGCGGTTGCCTGGAAGAAATTGCTTTTTAGCGATAAGGCCGCCGATTGTACCACTAAATTGTATCGATTATCCTTTTATTTAATTATGGTATACAATAAAAGTATTTATTCATTCATTCTTCGTGCGCGAGTCCAACTCGCATATGGCCGGTTGTTTGTTTCTATATTAACATTATTAAGAAAAAAGATTTCAAGTTTGTTTGTTTGCAAAGAATGTGTACCGAAACTTTTTAATAATTTAAAAATTCTTCCACCTACATGAAGCTACAGCATATGCGGTGGACATAGGCTATATTTTATATCGAAAAACAGCAAATAAAGTTCGTCTATGGAATCAAAAAAGTTACCACAGTAACCATTGTTCACTATTCAATATGTCATTGTAATTATATCCGTGTCGTGATATGAATCTGTATCCAAATAAACAGTACCCCAGGGAATACGTGGGCGAAGCCGCTGGCGGAAAGCTAGTATATTGTTAAAGTTTTCAGTATTTTTGTATATCTATAAGCAGAGGTCGGAATTAGGTAGAGTTATTTATGTACTTGCATCGAAATGTTGATATTAATGTGGACCTTCCCGGGATTTCTTTATTTCTTCTTTCTTTATTTCTTTCTTTCATTGATATAAGTTTGGCAACGTCGTGCGTGCAGTAGTTTAAATTGTGTAAAAGTAAATAACTTTTTATTTAAAAAATCACGGGATTTTTTCTACTCTTTAAAATTAATCTCGGGATTTGGGGCATATCCACTTTATTCTATCGCTGTATGAAATCAGTGTAAGTACATGAATAACTCTACCTAATTCCGACCACTGTCTATAAATGACGTCACTGTTTTTGGAAAAGTATTTTAAAACTAGATACGATTGATGTTTTTTCTTTTTTATTTCATTTATACTTTATTATATCTATATGTTATACTTTATTCTTTTAAAGCCATTCAATCTGCCGCTCCGACGCCACCCGCGAAACAGAAGCAGCAACAGAGCAAGAAGGAGAACAAAAAGAAAGAGACGCGAGATCAGCAGCAACAACAAAACTCGCAACTGGTCAACATCACACCGGACACCACAATTGAGCTGATCAACAAGAAGGTATGCAACTGGTATTTATAATGGCCGATTTCTGAATAGGGGTGTAGGCAAAGTTATTTTTTTTTATATATATATATAAACATGTAATATATCTAAATAAATATAGGGAAATGTTAAGTGGGATAAAACGTATCCTATTATCTAAGTCAGCTAATACCCTATCTGTATACCAAATTTCATCAAAATCCGTTCAGTAGTTTCGGCATGATTGACCGACAAACATCCGAACAAAGAAACTTTCAAAAATAAAGAAACATGACGACATTTATAATATTAATAGGAAAATTACATTTAAAAAAAGTATCATTCGTTTGACAGCTCGTGTAGTTCGGTGGCGTAGTGGATGAGCGCCGCGGCCCGCGATCGTTGTCATTAAGCAACTTTCGCTATGGTCGGTCACGGGATGGGTGACCGAAAAATCATTATCTCGAGCTACTCCGTGCTTCGGAAGGCACGTTAAGCCGTTGGTCCCGGCTGCGTTTGCAGTCGTTAATACCCTCCAATCCGCATTGGGCCAGCGTGGAGGGTCATGACCCATCCTCCTTAACCATCCATAAGGAAGGCCTGAGCTCCTGCAGTGGGGACGTAAAAGGGCTAATATAAGGATATTATACATACATACACATTTATACATTTTTAAAAGTTTATGATAGTTTTAAGAAATAAGTCCTTAATGAAACATGCTTAAAACAATTTGTCCCTGGCACTCTGAGATGGGACTCGAACCTATATTTTTCAGTATAGCATTGTGAATGTTTATCGAAAATTTAAATATTTATAAAAATATTTCTTTCGACTGTTTGGGTGGATGTCTGAACATTGATGAGAACACGCTCTGTAGTAGCGGAAAGTAACGAGTGCTTGAAAGATTCGTCAGTCCTGTTAGGTCCTGGGTGGCTCAGTGGTTAGAGGAGTCGCCCAGATTGAGAAAGGTCGAGTTCGAGTCCCCTCTCAGAGTGCCAGGGACAAAGTGGAATATTATAAGTATTATTCATTATGTGCATAGCATTGTCGGTCAGTTGCACAAACGTCCATTAAGGTTTAATGACGCCTTTAAGCTCTAATTAATGTCAAATTTGTATTGGTAATGTCGATTTAAACTAATGAAAAATTTAATGGATGTTTGTGCAACTGGCTGTGTGAATACCAAAACGATAAAATACAATAAATGCGTAGTCTAATATTTTATATTATTTCAGTATGACATTTAATGCTACTTTATTTTTTAATTTTCCTTAACAGAAACAAACGTGCAATGATGCTGAGAAGCCGGCTTCGTGCAGCATCATGGAGCAGCTCAGTTGCGGCGTGCAGGTGCGTAAACGCCCAATGACAAAAACTTGTAGTACATCAGCAATAGCTTGTAATCCATCGTTTTATTAATAATGTTTTATTTTATTTTATGATTTTATTTAATTTATTTTAGGACAATTTTTTTTTTATAAATTTTATTTATATTTCTTTATTAATACTTTCTTATCTTGTTTTATTAATTTAATTTTATTTAAATTTCAAAATAAGTAATTTAAAAGTTGTGGAATTTGATTTTATTTATATTTATAATTGAATATTTTAATGATCTGTAATGTAAATAATCTTATATGGATTGAAATTAAATGAATTTTAATTTGAAAATAGTCGAGAGAAGTAATTACAATAAAAAAAAAAAACTGTAACTTCATTCAAATTCTTGTCTATTGGTTAAAAATATTAATTTAAATTATGACATTTCCTCGAGTAATTATTTCTGTTGTGTCACGTGACTTGAAACGCCCGCATTGTGTGACGTCACTCCGGCGACAGTTGTCAGATTAGTTGTAAACGTACGCCTATTTATTATGGGTATGTGCCGATATACACTGCGACCACTGAACAGTATGACGTCAATTTAGTATACTGGAAGCCCGTTCCTTTATAGCTAGTTATACTGGTGACTTTTAAAACGGAACGCAGTCCAGTATACTGTTAATCCTATTTTTTGGAGCCATTTTCAAATTTGTTAATGCAAGGTGAATATAAATATAAAGATTCCCTCTTTTCAATAGAAAATATTATAAAATTGTATATAAAAAAAATATTTATCAATTAAATCCATCTTATAATAAACGTAAGTATTTTTTTTGTTTCTTTTTTTTGAAATCTCCAGTGCTCACAGTACAAATATGGCGGCAATTTATGACGTCATAAATTTCCCTAGGGTACTGTAGCAGTGTACTGGCAGTCCATAACGGAACGGATTTTTCAGCAGTAAGACCACTGCGCAGTGCTCGCAGTGTATATTGGGACATACCCTTTATATAATCAGTTTTGCATTCACTCTCGAGGGTGCAATTAATTGTTACACCCGACAAAATTAAAATTAATTATAAAAATAAAATATTTTATTAGTAAAAATATCTCTCTTTAGAAGTTTTAGGCAAAACTTTATTAATTGCTGCTTCATCTTCCATTTTCGTTGAATCGGGAATGCAGCTTATGGGCCCTCCATTAATCACGTGAGGCTCGAAAGGGAGGGGGGATGGATTCGTCAAAAATCACGAAATATCACAAGGGGGGGAGGGTGTAGTAACATATCACGTGTATTTATTTTTAAATCGAAAAGCGACGTCAAAATATAATACTTTTTGTTGGTATTAAAAAATACACGTGTTTGGTTGAAGGGGGGAGGGGGTAGTCTTAAACCTCACTATGTATCACCAAGGGGGAGAGAGGGGGGTATCAAAAAATGTTGAGAAACATCATGTGATTAATGGACGACCCTTTATATCTTCATCACTTGAAGAACTCGTGTTTTTTCCTAATTAGCACGTGGTTTTAAAAAAAACCCCAAAAACAAACAATATTTATAGTAAAAGTTTTCTATTTCGCTTTTTTTCATTATAAAGAACCAAGTAAAGAACTTTTTTATTTTTTTTCAACAACGAAATTCGATATTTAAAATTGATGATTCAGCCTTGTGAACAGCAAAGAGGTCATTGGACTGAATGCATGATGTCTGATGTTTAGATGTACGCGAACTTTTTCTCTGAAACGGGGGAACTTTCAGGCCTGAACTTTGATGAAATCAAAGGGTCTATACTCCATTCATTATAACATTAGAAAAAAGAGGATCACAGAAGCAGCAGTGCAGAACATTTTATTTTCAAGATAAATTTTATAAATATATACTAATAGTTTTGTTGAAACTTTGAACGTTAGGTAGTCTGAAAGAGTTGGGTAATTTTCCATTTTCTTTTGCGATGAGGACTTTTCGAAATTCATCTTTTACTCCCAAGCCAATATGGAACTATAACTATCTATCTGTTGTTTTGGTAAATTCTAATTGTAAGTGTATAATTAGAATAGAATTTAGTTAAATTTATGCCCAGGAAAGAAAGGTAAACAAAATTAATTTTTTATTATTACTTTTATTAGATTTATTCAGATATTATTGATTAAGATATTAGAAAAACTTCCTGAAATGTCAGAGGTAATTGTTGTAGGCCATTCGGACCTGCACCGGAATCGTCCATATTTAGCAAAAGTCAACTTCAAAAATATAACAAAAACAAAACTATAAGATAAGAACAATAATACAATAACAATTAAATCACGAAATACGGTAAAACAACAAGAAAGGCAATAACATTCACAATTAATGAGAATCTCATATTACGTATTTTGACTATTATGTATACATCATAATCTGACAAAATTAAAAAGCTGTTCTACCGAAACGTTTGAAAGGATTAAGCAACATTTTAAATTTGGTAGAGTTATAGTGACATGAGAATCGTGCCGAGACTATCCAACCCTGCTTCTCTAGGTTCTTTAAGATGAACACTTTTTATTGTAAAAGTTATTAAATCTTTTAAGTTAGTCAAATACTCATAATTTTGTAAAACAGATAACATAAACGAAACCTGTTAAGTATAGCAGCTGGTATTTAAGTGGATCTGTAGCAAATAAGCCGTCAGTCTTAAGAGTAACATGATTGTTAATATTTTGTTACAAAGTATACCATAAAAAGAACCTAATTTAACTTCTGTCTAATGCTATAATGAATGGAGTATAGGTGCTATAATAATTTTCTTTATAGTGGTTAGATTTTTTCGGAATAAAGTACCAAAAGAAAAACATTGTGCAACTGGCTGATAGATTATCTTGAATTTGAATATTGGTTTCAGGTGGCAGACCTAAAGCTACCGCCCGGTATTACATTGACGAGGGTACAACCAAACGAGAAGAAAGAGCCGGTACCGATCAAATCTGTGGTGAGTATAAATTTAACTAGCTCTCCGCCAGCGGCTTCGCCCTCGTGTTCCCTAGGGAACTATTTATTTTGATACCTATTCGTTTTTTTATCGATTATCCTTTTATTGAATAATGGTGTACAATAAAAATGTTCATTTATTCAGATATAATTATAATGATAGATTGAATAGTAAACATTAGTTACTATGGTAACTTTTTAATTCCCCATACAAACTTACACTGCCATTTTCATCTCTTTATTTGCTGTTTTTCGGTATAAAACATATCCTATGTCCACCGCGTATGATGTAGCTACACGTAGGTGGAAGAATTTTTAAAATCGCTCCAGTAGTTTCGGAGGTTAGTCTTTGTGAACAAACAGACGAAACAATCAAATCTTTTCTTTTTAACATAATATAGAAAGTAGGAATGTTTAATTTTTCACATTTGTAGTTTATCCACATATAGTATTGTTACTGGATCGTTAATGTTGTCTAAATAGGAACAGACTTTCTTTAATCCAGTATACAATCATTGTGATATATAAACAAAACAGATGCATAGAGTAGAAGATTAAAAGATGTCAATGAAACAAGAACAGTGCCATCTAACGATCGATTTCGAAATAAAAAGATATAAGTGAGCTAAGAACAGCGCCATCTAGGAATTCTATTTCTTTTTAAAATGTTTTTATAGCTATTTATAATTTATATTTATAATTTCTTCTGTATGCCAGTTTCTGCTAAATATGTCTGTTAACTAGAAAATAAATTGTAACAACTTGTACTTTCCATATTTATGCAAAAATAAATATATTATTATTATTAATAGAGAAATCTTCATGGCTAATCTGATAGCTGTCGCTACAGTGACGTCACACAATGGCGGGTTGTGTTTGCAGTCACGTGACATGCGGACAAAAATAACACAGACTTCATTTTAAGATAATAAGATAATGCGTCTTTTAGCCAGTTGCACAAAGGTTCAATAAAAAGTTCATTAGTTTAATGCGACATTACCCATACAAATATGACAATCATAGGAGCTTAAAGGCGTCATTAAACCTCAATGGATGTTTGTGCAACTGGCCGTTTAAGACTTAAAAGCAGAATGTCTTCGTTTATTACGATGTAAATATTAGTTTTTTTGCAATTTCGTGACTTATTCTTAATTACTTAAACTCACAAACCAAAAAGTAATGAGTGCTTGAAAAATTCATCAGTCCTGCTTGTTCCTGGGCAGCTCAGTGCTTAGAGGAGTCGCCCGGATTGCGATAGGTGGTGGGTTTGGGTCCCATCGCAGAGTGCCAGGGAGAAAGTAGTTTTTTTTAAAGCATTTTTTAAAGGGGCCGTCCATAAATTACGTCACACAAAATTCATGATTTTGACCCCCACTCTTGCCACGTGTTAGTCTATACAAATTCGTCTACCCCCCCCCTCCTAACGTGTGACATAATTTGTGGATGGCCCCTAAGTATGTATATATATATATATATATATTTTATTAAGAATATTTCTTTTTTTCTATACAGCCCGTATGGAAATGCAGTGGACTAGCGGCTGCACCCACTCCCCTAGCGAGACCTCCGCCCGTCATCAACGCCGATCCAGCAATGATGTGCTTCACCACATCACAACCAGGTAAACTCATCACCATCACAGGGGTAAACAAGGGCGCCAGCCTATATTTGGGGGGGCAAATTGTAATTTGTAGCTTATGTCAAGAGCACATTAAACTTTTTACTTGTATTACGAGCCTTACATCTTATATTTAATATTTAATTATTTTAAATATATACACGATATATATAAAAAAAAATATTTAAAAAAGTATCATTAGTTTAAAATCTAAAAATTAATTTAGCTTTCAAAATGTCCCGCTAAAGCGCCAACTTCTGTCATGGCGTCGATATGACGTCACGGCCCTCTGATACTGATGACATGCATTAGGTTGTATTCTCCAAGTGTTGATATGAGTAACGACAAGGCAACGAGTCGAAAATATTTGTTTTTCAGAATTAATTTAAGTAATATTATAAATATAAGTGTGATGACCAGAGGTCGGAATTAGGTAGAGTTATTTATGTACTTGCATCGAAATGTTGATATTAATGTGGACCTTCCCGGGATTTCTTTATTTCTTTCTTTCATTGATGTAAGTTTGGCAACGTCGTGCGTGCAGTAGTTTAAATTGTGTAAAAGTAAATAACTTTTTATTTAAAAAAATCACGGGATTTTATTCTGCTCTTTAAAATTAATCTCGGGATTTGAGGCATATCCACTTTATTCTTTCGCTGTATGAAATCAGTGTAAGTACATGAATAACTCTACTTAATGCCGACCACTGGTTATTAGTTACAGTTATTGTTTTTTTTTTACTTTATTATAACTGTATTTGTGTTTGGCTTTGATTTTAACTAGTACATATTATTTCAGAACCACCTAAAACCATAGTCATACCAGAAACCGCTCCACCACCAGCGGCCAAATCGAAGAAGTCCAAGAAGAAAGCCAAAAAAGTTCCCAACGACGTTGAGTCCAAACAGGAGACCAAAATGGTCACGTTAAGGAACCCCATGTTCCATCCGAATTTACCACCGGTCCAAATAACCAATGCTCCGGTCCAGAAGAAAGCGGAACAGATCAGAATACCAGACCCTATACCGATGCCACCGAACTCTTGCCAAGCTACCATCACTCCTACATCCAACGGAATGTACACGATAAGGAATCCTCTGATGTCCATGATGCATCAGCAGTCGTTGATGGGGATCAGAGCTCAGACCCCCCAAATCAACCCGATGTACGGTCAGCAGTACAATTTTGTTAATCCCAACGTTTACAATCCAGTGCAGACCGTGCCAAATCAATATGTTATCGAGCAACAGCCCAAGAATCAAGACGAGATGCAGAGTAGAATAATGAATCTTGCATCGTTCACACAGAAAAACGATGAAGGCTACTCCCTGTTTAAAACGAACGAGGACAATCAGCAGAGAAGTTTCTTGACTCCGGAGTATTTTGTAGAAAATCAGAGTCCGAAGCCGGTTGTATCACCCAATCCGATTGGAACTAGACCGAGCAATGAATCTAATCGATCTTTCGATTCGAACGATTCATCTCTCTTCGCTAATCCGATACAGAGACCGGAGCCTATAGGGACTCCGTTGAAACGTGAAGAGGAACGGAACGAGTTCACCGGTCTTTATACACCGTTCGGTCAGGAAGACAGGAATGTCTTTAGGAACGCGTTGTTCAACAACAAGACAGATGTTGGCGCCAACGTTGGTCGTATGGACGATATGGGACCCAATCATTTGTCCAACGGGGACTCGTTGCCTTATTTCCAACGTTTGAGGGTTGGTTCGAAGCTGAATAACGAAGTGACTATACACCATGTGACCGAATCTAAATTCTACAAAGGGCAGGTGAGTTATTTCATTTTTTTTTAATAATTTACTAGCTTTCCGCCAGCGGATTTGCCCGCGTGGTTCCCGGGGAACTGTTTATTTGGATACCGATTCATATCACGACACGGATATAATTACAATGACAAATAGAATAGTGAACAATGGTTACTGTGGTAACTTTTTAATTCCACATACAATCTTCTATTATTTGCTGTTTTTCAGTATAAAATATATCCTATTTTCACCGCATATGATTTAGCTTCATGTAGGTGAAAGAATTTTAATAATCGCTCCAGTAGTTTCAGAGCCTATTTAATGAAAACAAACAGACATACGTATAATTAAATCTTTCCTCTTTATAATATATTAGTATAGATTAATTTATTCTGATAATTATTATGCGAGCCAAATAAAAATAGGACTATCAATCTTCTTGGTTCATATTACACTTCAACGTTTTTTTTTATATATATAAATCAATGCATAACGGCGTAGACATTTTGTAATAGGCTAGTTGACAACCTTTTTTTTATTTTATAATTAAATATTCCATTAATATCTGAGAAATAATGTACAAGTAACAGCATGTCTGCGATTAATAGTTTCGGAGATAAGGTCCTGTGTTTGTGGAATTGCTGCTAGTCGGCTGAAAACGCTCCCTACAAATTCAAGGCACTAAGTGACGTCACACATTGGTACGGTAGCGAAAAACTTGTAGGCGTCTCGGCAATGTTTGTAATATCTTTGTTGTTTGTGCGTTTATGTTTATAGCTGTTACAATGAATGTTGTTACCTTTTATGTAACTGATTAAATGCCATATGTATTTTTGCAAATTTTTGTAGTGTATTTTCTCTACTTTTTTCACGTTTTCAAAAGGGTAATATTTTCCAAATTAGCGTCAAAAAATAGTGTATAAATGCCGACGCGTCTAGGGATCAGACAAGTATCTTTAACCTCATATCTATAATATATTTAATAATATATTTAAATAATTCTTAATAAAAATATGCCAAAACTAAAAATAAATAGCGAAACGAGACCAAAAAATATTTATAAATTCAGTTTTCTTCGTCGTCAAGTATTACAATGACAGATAAGCAGAGAATTTGGTAACTACTAGGGTTGCCACCTTTTTTTCTCCCAATTAAAGTACATTAGTTATTATAGGTACAAAAACAAAGTAAATTGAATAAAAATAAGTATTATTATTTTTTCTTTATTACTAAACTTAAAAATACATTTTCTTTTTATTTATCGATTCAGCATGAATCGATAAATTTTGTTTAACGAAAAAATACTTACGACTAAGCTTCAAAATCACAAACAAATCAAATCATACGACATAAAGTATTTTCGTGTACTTTATTTTTCTTATAGAGTATAGAGTACAATTGTCTGAAATAACGTACAATACTTTATTATAAAGTACGGGTGGTAACCCTAGTAATTACCGCAATCCATTTCGAAGGCATAGCGATTGTGATAGCTTTAGTGACGTTTAACGTCGCAACCGACAAAAGCTTGCCTCATTCGATATCTTTTGAAAAACTTTGATATCTTTCAGATGTCAAATTGCGAAAGATTTTATAATTAAGCCTCCGATTCTATTCTTAATTGCCTCGCATAATCTTAATATTTAGGTAATCTTTAAATTGATTACTCTGTGTATCTTTTAATGAAAAATGCCGAAATTCATCAGCGCCAGGGACTCCGAAATGGGACTCGTACCTATAACCTTTCGCGATCCGGGAATGCTTAAACATATTTTATCTACACTCAAATCGAAAAATTCGAATTACGTATTCAAAGAAGATTCTATACAAACGCACTTTATAAAATAAAACTCATTATAGTACCGCTATCTTTTTTTACTCATTAAACTAGTCTATGGTTTTAGGCTGAATATGACAAAAAAGGCGCGCACATGCGCAGTACGAACTGTGAAAAAAAATGGCGCACGCATAAATTACTTATTTGTAACCTACTTTGTTTAATTTCAATATTTCCTATGAGTGAATATAAAGTAGTGTATGAATCTGCATATAACTTAGGTATTAAAACACTCGAGTCAACCTATTCCCCCCTTCTTATATGGCAGTTGCATAAACTACCATTTCAGTATATCATTGTGAATACAAAATAAAACAAATATAATATTAAGAAGAAATTTTCAACTTAATCGAAAGTTTATATATTTGTGGAAATATTTCTCTCAGCTGTTTGGGTGTAATAGGGATGATGACTAATTTTTGTTTGTTTGTCTGTTAGGTAGAGTGTTAAAAAATATTAAACACGTATTTTTTTTTTCGTAATCATAAAATTACCGCCTTACATGGAGTTGAAATTTCGCATGATGTCACGTTAGAGTACGTTTTTTACTCAACTGTGACGTAGCGAGCCCCCACTCCTCAACTTTAATGCCTGTTATCTAAGCTATTTCTTGTTAAATTGAAGGAAAAAAAATACGTATCTAATATTTTTCTATTATCTGACTGACGGACTAAATAGAATTGCATTTTTTTATCCAGTCATCATCCGTATTGCCTGAACATTGGTGAAAATACGCTCTGTAGTAGCGAAAAGTAACAAGTGCTTGAAATATGCGTCAGTCATGTTAGGTCCTGGATAGCTCAGTGGTTAGAGGAGTCGCCCGGATTACGAAAGGTTATGGGTTCGAGTCCCATCTCGTTTTTTATTAAGAATATTTTTATATAGTATTGTGAATGCAAAATTTCTCAAATATATATTATATGTTTATACAGGAACCGGAAGGGGTTTACGGCAGATGGCCATCGCACGCCCCACCATTCCCCAATGGTAATTATTTATCACACGAACCAACATCACAACATAACTAACTAAAGCAGAGGTTCCCAAACATTTTCTTCTCGAAGACCATTTTAAAAGATTTACTGGTTTCGGTGGACCCTCTGCTGCTACATTTTTACCATATTCCCAAAAGTCATCCAAAATGTGAAGATCTAACGATGGAAATTGGCGTCGCGGGTGAGTTCACACCAAAGTAGACCCGCTTTGAATCCTTCGTGGACCCCTGGGGGTCCACGTGGCCTACTTAGGGAATCACTGCACTAAATAATAGTGTCCAATGGCGTTGATGACCTAATCAATATATTACAGCGATTTAGTTGAAATATCACGTGATTTCGCGCTTTTATACTTTTTCTACATAGTTGTGACGTAGCGAGCCCCTCATCAACTTTGACGCCTATTATCTAAGCTATTTCTTTTTAAATTGAAGCAAAAAGAGACATATTTATTATTTTTGTAATATCTGACCAACGGATTAAATAGTTTTTTTTTATCCAGGCCAATTATATATTTACTAACGCATCTAGTGATGTGTAAAATAAAGCTTAAATCAGACTTATTTCATAGCGTTTAATAAAGTCTTAATATAAAGCGGGAAAAAAGAAGTAAGGCTGTTAAATATTTTTAAAGTACCGTACCTAAGAAACTTTGTTTGTCATAAGCGATGGTCGGAATTAGGTAGAGTTATTCATGTACTTACACTGATTTCATACAGCGAAAGAATAAAGTGGATATGCCTGAAATTCCGAGATTAATTTTAAAGAGCCGAAAAAATCCCGTGATTTTTTAAATAAAAAGTTATTTACTTTTACACAATTTAAACTACTGCACGCACGACGTTGCCAAACTTACATCAATGAAAGAAAGAAATAAAGAAATCCCGGGAAGGTCCACATTAATATCAACATTTCGATGCAAGTACATAAATAACTCTACCTAATTCCGACCTCTGGTTATAAGGTTAAAATGTCTTTATAAATCACATGGATATTTTATCTAATATTTATATTATGGTACAGCAGCAGTACAAGTGTCCGGTCGTTCCTCCCGCGCGGGTTCCTCCCCCACGGGATCCAGCGGATCCCCAATCGATGACACCGGCTTCGGAGCCGTCGGGTCCAGGAAACATCTCGCCCTCTCAATGTGAACGAACAGACATACAAATCCGCCGATATTTGAGTAGACAGCAACATTTTTAATGACAACATCCGCTTTAGGAATTTTCTGGTACTTTTTACCGTATTATGAGCGTGATAGGAACGTATTGAGAACGGAATATCCCTTTATAGCTTACTGCACTGTACCAACCGCGAACTTTACCCGTATGTATAGTATGGATTCTGATAAACGGACATAGAGTCTTATACCCGTATCTATAGTCAAGTAAAAGTAATTACTTAAGTAAATATTTTTATCAAATAAACAAGAATTTGGATGAATTAACAACTGTTAATATTAAAAATACTATGATTATTTTTAGCTAATAACAAACGTCTATTGATTTACAATATCTGCTTAAGTTATGCCTTTTTCTCACATAATTACTTCTCTCGACTATAGATACGGGTGTTAGTATTATGTTTTGTCTCGTGCAGTTAATATATTTTGCTTGGCACGTTCCTATGACGCTCATGGTTGTGATACGATACGAGAGCAAACAAACATAAACTTCATGTTATTTCAGTAAAAATTATGATAATTAATGAATTGTACTTGGGACCTTGTTTCTTTGACAATGATGTTTCTGTTAATAAAAGTGCAGACGTGCGATTCTCTAAAAGTCCAATCTCGAATTCGTATTCACTCAGGTGTCCAAATTCACTTCAAAATGCGGGATATAAGTGAAGTGAGTTTCGAAATGACGTAGGAATATAATATCTTGGATACGTATGATCAATAAATTTGGTTTTGTATTTTTACGCAAAAAAAATGGAATCAATAGAATTTCTTCACTAAATGGCGTGAATGTGTGATTTGAATTCGGGTTCGGATTTGTAAAGAAACCCCCGCAGAATAGTGATTTTTTTTTTATCGTGACGATATATCTATGCTGGAAGTGGTAACTGGTTTTTTTTCTTATAATACCCATTATACGCTGAAGTAGGGACTGATTTTTTGTGATATTTGGGAAGTAAGAGTGTCCTGAACGAGTGACTGGGAATAAAAATTTCGCCGATTCAATAGTACTTTAAGTAAATATATTTTGACTTTGAGTAGGGACTGGCTTTTCTTAAATACCCGGTGAACTCTGGAAGTGGGAACTGATTTTTGGAAGTAGGGAAAATAAAGAAACGATTATTGTACAACAAACAAATTATTTGATTAATTTATTGAGTATTCAAATAATTAAAATATCGATTGAATGAGGGTAGAGTCACTTATGACATTATAGACTTACAAACCTCAAGCTTATACTCAAGCGATTATTTCCTTTGTGTATTTTTTTATGATAAATGTCTTTCCCATGCTTGTTCCTCCAATTTTAAAGATATAGCAATACTTATTGCTAAAAAGCTGATTAAATATTAATAAATATATAATTAATAGCTTTAGCTCGCGCGTTCTCTTGGTATACTTATTTTGAACACGAATCCTATACAAACTTAACTATTTCAACTTTCAACCATTTTTTTCGCGATAAGATGTAACCTATGTCCTTTCTCAAGGTCAAATCTTTCTTTGCCACTGAACCAGTGGTGAATTGCCTAACATACAGAGTTACAAGCATTTTTACTAACCTATAACTTGTTCCTGCTTTTTCATAGCTGAACTAGGATACGCCTAATATTACGAATCGCCTAAGCGGATTAGTTTAATTTTAAATATTTTTTTTTCTTTTATCCTTTGACATATTTATGACGTGTCATATACGCAAATGCCTAGCGTAAGGCGCCGCATAACGAATATCATAACTTTAGACAATGCTTAATTTCGTTAGTCGGTTCCTAGGCAATGGTGAAGTGCATTTTTTCCTTAGGCGATTCCTAAATATTTAGGCGACTCCTAAGTTAAGTGAAAACCGGCATTAGTTTCTAATTTATAAATTCGTAGTAACTATTATTTCGTTTTCGGAGAAACACAGGTGGTTCCGGGTGTTTGATAGTTTTTAATTACCATTTGTAAACAAAGATTTATTTATACTACTAGACGAGTCGGGCGGAACTAAAATACAATATTTTAGAAATCTTTCTATACTGCATATTGTTATACAGAATAAATTATATTTAAATCTTACTGTTTACGTTTTGCCGCTTTACTTTTACGTTACACATATTTTTTTTTTTAAATTTTTGCTGTATTTTTTAATAATAATGTTTTGAACAAACACATTTAGGTATCTCTCGAGTAGCTCGTTTACTAGTGTATAGAAATCTTTGATTGTTTAATAAATATGCAGTGAAACAATAAAGTATCGATTATCGCAGAAACTTGACATGTTTGAAATAAACTAAATTAATTTAATGGCGTTGTCCAAAGGGTATGTAACATTAATACATATATTTAGATATCTGATATGTTTTTTTAAATCTATTACAGATTTTTTTCACCAGCAATAGACGAAAGTTTACTTTTTATAAAATACCTTGTTGGTACTTTCCTTGAGCTTTATTCCTAACGGAGTAAGTAGCATTTTGCTTAGAATCATCGGGCTGTCAAAAGGCATGTTTTCATGTTAGATAGACTAATTTTGACTTAACATTATAAAGAGCTGTTATAACCTTAAATATTTTTTTTTAAATAATACTTTTAGTTAAACTTTCCTACTATTCTTTCTTCCTAGTTTCAATAAAATAAAATATAGTTGTGACATATAGTTTGACAGTGACAAATAATCAATTTTCCTTATTTATAAATAATAAAACAAAACAAAAAGAAATAATCGTAGGTTTTAACAGCTCTAAGTGATGTCTCTTTAAAATGTTTGTTACTCAAATGATCAATGAATATTGTTAAGTCTTAATATCGTGTTGTAATTAAGCAACGAATGGGTGGATATCGAATTTTTTACATACATTATACACTTGAATAAGTGTGAGGACTTTTTGTCTCGCTCACGTCATGTAATTGAGAAAGCGAGACGACATGTGTTATTGTGACACACGGACGTAAACTGTTGACAGTTTTTATACAAAAACTTGAAACGCGGCGTTTCAATTGACATCAAACATTGACTAGACATTTTTAACAGTTTCGAATTGACACTGTAGAGGTATTAAATATGGGAGATAGAACATCGCTATACCCGGTTTGTTTATAGGCACAACTCTCCATACGTCAGAGAGAGACTGTATGGCGATCTTCCGTCTCTTTCTAATCGAGCGACGTGTATCAGGCAGCCATAGTCACGTCTGTTCTGGGGGACGTTTTTCTACTAAATTAATTTTGTTTAAAACGGATCGAAGCCGAACGAAACTAGTTTTAATGGTTTTTATATTTTACTAGGTGACACACGATACAATTCCAACTAAAATAGAACTGGAATCGTATGTCACTTTGTAGAATAGGAAAACCGTTAAAAACTGTAGTTTCGTTCGGTTTCGATCCGTTTTCGATTCGATTTAAACGAAATTTATTTAGTAGAATTGGCCCTAAATACTTCTACGATTGACTCACTTTTGTGACCGCCATATTGTATGATATGATTATGGAAAATGCAATAAGGCCGATTTCCGGTCGGCCTAAATCAATGAGACAGATATATACACGAAATCATTTAGATATATTCAATTGGTGTAGTGTAAAGTATTTATTTAGTAGTTTTTAATAATAATTATGTATACTTAGAGTGAGTGTACTACTACAACACATATACCAATATGATTTCGCGCAACTTAATACGCTTTTCTGTAAGGTTCGTTTTTATTGATCGGTATATAGCAGACGGGGATTCCCCGCAGGCGAAATTATCCAACATCAACAGTCAATAGTGAAGTCTTTATACTGTCTGCGAGTATTATTAATTATCCTATTATACTCCTTTACTAATATATTAATATAAAAGTATTTTACTGCTCCCCCCCCCCCCCCCTCATGCTATATTGATCAATGAAAATTCAGTTTAAACATACATCGGTGATTTCGTGTATATCTGATTTGTATTCACAAGTGGTGTTTTGAAATCAATGGACTGACAGACAGTCGCAAAATGGAACCTAGTTAATAATTTTACACTGTAAGTGCCACTATTCATATAGAAATTATCTATATCAATGTATTTCATAGTATTGTCGGTAAAACTGTCTGTATTTGAATGACATCGTCTGTGAAGGTTGTATGACGTTAAAATATAAGTAAAGTGTATATTATAGCTGATTTGTGTGTTATTATTAACTCCCTACCCCCTTTACCCTAAAGAGAGACTAGTCATCATCATCATCATCAGCCCTTTTACGTCCCCACCTGCAGGGGCTAAGGCCTTCCTTATGGATGGTTAAGGAGGATGGGCAATGTCCCTCCACGCTGGCCCAATGCGGATTGGACGGTATTAACGTCTGCAAATGCAACCGGGACCAACGGCTTAACGTGCCGAAGCACGGAGTAGCTCGAGATAATAATTTTTCGGTCACCCGTCCCGTGACCGACCCTTGCGAAAGTTGCTTAACGACAATGATCACGTGCCGCGGCGCATGTCCACTACGCCACCGAGCTACTCTTATTTTTCTAATTGTAATGGAAAGTGATTTCATATTATAATGAAGTCATTTTTCAATCTTGACGCTTTGTATGAAATTAAAGATGGAGAAATAAGCTGTCTTTATTTTATTTTATTTTCAATATCTTAGGAAAACTTACAGCTAGGTAATACTATACATAGATTTTTTATTATATCTATAAAGAAGGCCAATTACAAGTTTCCACTTATAGGTAATTGAACAATAGACAAAACAGACAACAGCTAAAAGCAACAAAATTAAAATTATAGTAGGTTAACATTTAAGATTGTATGCATTACTTAGTTTACTTTATATTTCATTATTTTATAGTTCAAGATAAAAAAAAAGAGAACCAATTCACTTATCAAAAAATTTGTCTACTAAATGGCCTTTAAGTTTGTTTAATGAAGTATTGAATAAATCGCTGGGCCGATTTGCCGAGTTTCTTGCGTTTGAGATGTGATTTGATTTGAGTAAACAGAAATTAAACAACAATACAAAAGAAAGATACTTTATTATTTTCGATTATTCTACAATTATAGTCCGTATTACGTATGACATAAGGTCTAATGTCGCTTGGGCGTGGTCGCTTGTTGAGGTGAATCTGGTCTTCTTCGCTTACGTCTCGGCGGCGGCGCTGTCAGACCGGCGTGAGCTTGAGCCGCTAACAACATTCCAAGTTGACACTGAGCCTAAAGGATGAAAAAAAAATTAAAAGATTTTTTAAGAAAATTTTACATGACGCATCATCTTTACGAAGATCGTTTGATTTAATTTCTTTTATTTTAATTGCTAGTTACTCGATTACTTAATTACTCGATTGTAAAGAGAGCGTGATCATCGATACTTTTAATTTTATTAGAATGGTGACACTGACTTTGACAGTTCGTTAACAAAAAGCAAGTAGCCGCCATTTTGGCAGACATTCTGTTTCCGATCGCCGAGATTTAAAGATAACGTGGATTTGTTCCATTTTATAAAATGATAAAATGGAACAAATCCACGTTGTTACACACGCCTGCAGTGTTATTTTAAAGATAGTACTCCGATATGGACGATCTATTTGGGCTTCGTAATAGGCCCTTCTGACTACCCGCCGACATATATGATGTATTATATTATACAAGTGAGTGGGTTGTTCTGAAATATGTACTCCGCCGCCATTTTGTTACGGCGGCCATTTTGGGTCAATAATAATGCTGGTTACATATTGCATTGTAACCAGAACTACAGATATATTATTCAGCTAAGACTGGAAAGTGGGTGAAATTTAGCTTGCTTCTTGATTCGTCCGCGTAAATCACATCCTATTTCACCAGCGTATAATGAAGTTTCCCGTAAGTGGAAGAATTTGTATAATCGGTCCAGTAGTTCCGAGCCTATTTAATGCAAACAGACAAACAATCAAATATTTCCTCTTTATAATATTAGTGTAGATAATTGACTAGTGACGAACTTAATGAAAATTAAAATATACAACCGACTTCGACCGATAGTGAAAAATAATTCACTTCAGACTTCAATAAAAATTTTGAAGAACAAGGCATAGCTTAATTAGGTAACGCCTAATATTACGAATTGCCTAAGCAGATTAGTTGAATTCCAAATAAATATCTTTTTCTTCTATCCCTTGACTTATGCCTGTCATTCAAGCAAGGCGCCGCATATCGAATAACACAACTTTAGGCATTGTTTAATTTCGTTAGGTGGTTCCTAGTCAATAGTGAAACGCATTTTTACCTTAGGCAATTCCTAAATATTTAGGCGAGAGATTTGGATGTCTCCTTAGTGAAAACGGGCATTAATGGGAAATTGAATTATTCTCAGTATAGAATTGCGAATGCAAAATCAACAAATATGTTTCAAGGTTAAACCTTGAAGTTAAAAAAAATTAGAGATTAATTATGTATATACGGAAAATCAGACGTCATAAATTCTGATTTAAAAAAGCTCCATTATTGTTAACGCATTCAGACTGCGACGCGCAAGTAAGACAAACTAAGACCTGTCTCAGGATGGGTGACCAAAAGTTCACTCTTCCCCGTGCTTCGGGAGGCAAGTTAAAACGTCGGTACCAACTGCATCAGTCGTCAACAGCCACCAATCCGCAGTTGGGCCGGGGGTACACTCACCCGTCCGGGGGGACATTAGTAGGATATGAATCTTTTACCTCCTCGTGCATCTCTTTCGCCATGCTGTATACGCTGTGTTCGCTGCTGTTATATATGAGAGCGTTCGATAACATTAGCAGGACATCCCTTTGAAACTCAGCTGTAGTTCTGCAAAAAAAAAAATAACCATAAGGCGTAATATTATTACATGCCATGACTTCAAGGGGTGGATTAGTTAAGTATAATTAAAAACTTTTACTATGGCAGCAACACTAAATTCACGAAACAATAACCAGCTATTTTCGTTTTTCTTTTTGAAGCGAAGAATTTATTGAACTTTTGAAAAAGAGTATATATAAAGGACAAACTAAAAAAAAAAAAAACAAAAATAAAAAGCCCGAGACGTCATTCGAACTCGTGCTATCAATCCCCTGTGCTATATTTATTTTTAAAAATACATTGAAGTACTCATGTCGATAACAATACCTACACTAATTGACAGTATGAAACAGCTGATTATTATTTTGTGAATTCAGTGTTGCTCCCAAAGTAAAAGTTGTTAATTACAATTAACTAATCCACCCCACTAAATCCTGGCATATAATAATAATACACCTTATATAAATATATTTAAACTAGCTTTTGCCTGCGGCTTCGCTCGCGTTAAGTATTATTATTGATTAGGTATAGTTTTGCGGCTTTACTTTTGTTTTGTTTTGTTTGGGTGTAAAAAATTAGCGCCCACAAAACTTCTTTGTACACAATATTCTTAAATAATCTGTCATTAGGTGCTAAAACGATTAAACTATTGGGTGAACTTTCATCCCCTATTTTATCCCCATAGGGGTGGAATTTATCAAAATCCTTTCTTAGGGGATGCTTACGTCATAGTAGCTTTATGCATGAAAAGTCTCAGCCCGATCGGTTTAAAATTGACAAAGTTTCATACAAACTTTCATCCCCTATTTTATCCCTTTGGGGGTAGAATTGATCAGAATCCTTACTTAGCGGATGCCTACGTCATAACATTTACCTGCATGCCAAATTTCAGCCCGATCCGTCCAGTGGTCGTCAGTCAGTCTGTCACCTTTGAGTTATATATATTTAGGTAAAGAAAAAATCTGCATTAAGTCTTAAAATTTAGGGTCTTATTCACCATTGCTTTCAGAATTTGAGACTTGAAAATAACGTTCGACGACGCAGAAAATACTGAATTAGATGGCATTCTAAATTCATTTTGGAGAAAATGTATATATTCTAATAACGATACTCTATCGTAGTTTAAAAAAGCACTTTTTAATAACATCCTGTATAATATGCTACTGACTCTTTTATGATCGGCGGGGAATTTTGGTCCTAGTAAAATTCCCTGCCAACCATTAACTCCACTAGTTAACTCCATTAACTCCGCTATTAGTAACTATATATAGTAGAAATATATAGATTATATATATGTCGCATCATTTTTACGAAGATCACTTGATTTAGTAACTTTTTTTAAATTGCTAGTTACTCGATTACTTAATTACTCGATTGTAAAGAGAGCGTGATCATCGATACTTCTAATTTTATTAGAATGGTGACACTGACTTTGACAGTTCGTTAACAAAAGCTAATTGCCGCCATTTTGGCACGTATTCTGTTTCCGATCGCCGAGAAGTAAAGACATCCGACGACATCACGCTCATCTCGTTATATTCTGGTATGAAAAGTGATAAAATAGAACAAATCCACGTTGGTATACACGCCTGCAGTGTTATTTTAAAGATAGTCCTCCAATATGGACGATCTATTTGGGCTTCGTAATAGCCCATTCCGACTACCCGCCGACATATATATATAAAGATTGAACAACAAAGACAATATCGATATCTTTCATGTTTCGTTGCCTACTTTGAGGAATGGAGTGCTGAAATCATTGTTTTCAGGTGATAGAATTTGAGTATTTTCTACCGAAAATTTTGATTATTATTATTACTTAAATTGATCACTTTTTTAAACTAATTTTAATTCAAACTAACATGCAATATTAACATGTCTATATTTTAATTTCTATTATTATTGACTAATTAGAATTTAACATTGCAATGTATTCATTATGGGTATGTTCCGATATACACTGCGACCACTGAACAGTATGACGTCAATTTAGTATACTGGAAGCCCGTTCCTTTATAGCTAGTTATACTGGTGACTTTTTAAAACGGAACGCAGTCCAGTATACTGTTAATCCTATTTTTTGGCGCCATTTTCAAATTTGTTAATACAAGGTGAATATAAATATAAAGATTCCCTCTTTTCAAAAGAAAATTGGAAAATTGTATAAAAAAATTATTTATCAATCAAATCCATCTTATAATAAACGTAAGTATTTTATTTTATCTGTTTCGACTGATCACGTGATCAAAAGCACTGCGAGCACCTTACCTCGAAATCTCCAGTGCTCACAGTACAAATATGGCGGCAATTCATGACGTCATAAATCTCCCTAGGGTACTGTAGCAGTGTACTGGCAGTCCATAACTGAACGGATTTTTCAGCAGTAAGACCACTGCGCAGTGCTCGCAGTGTATATCGGAACATACCCAATAATATACAAATATTGTTATTCAACAACAATTATTTTTTTTAATTTGTAAACTTGTATTAGATTTTACTTTAATTGTGACATAATTTGCTAATGCTTGAGAAGCTTATTATTTTTATTATTATTCTGATTTTCGTACTGTCAGTGTGTCTTATGATAATAAATAAATAAAAAAATAATTTTTAATATTATAACATTACCTGATGACACCGTTCTCAATGTTCCGTCGTATCGTAGACAAGTCCATTGGTCTTTTTATAACAGCGCTGTAACCAGGAGCTTCCTCGTCGCTGATCGGTCGGAGGAACAACGACGCGTACTTGTGTGCGCACAGCCTTTAAATATAAAAAAAAATAAACTATATATTGTATTTATGTCAAGAATTAAATTTTAATGAAAAATATATTATCTTTATATGTATTTTTATAGGATGTACTTGTCTTTTTACATAATTAGAATAGACTTGTCATATTGTAAAATGGAATGAGGAAGTATTTTAAGAAAAAAAAAGAAAGCACTAAAAAGCACCTCCATTAGATGGCGACTCTAGCAAAAGTTGATTTTTGCAGGAAACGAATGGACCAAAGACAGTCATTTCCGTTCCTTTTAACTAACATATTAAAAAACTGAAATTTGCAAAGTTCGAAGCTTAGATATCAATACAAATACGAAAAAGTACAAATAGAATATTAGTTGTTTATTTGAGTTTTGAAAACTGATTTACTTTTATACATGAAAGTAAACCGGAAGGGTTGTCATGGAGAAATCAAGAAAGTACCGTAGCGACATCTAGTTTGATTTCGGGAACTGTTTTTTTTTTAAATACTTCCTTAAATACTTTTAATAATAATTTAATGTACTATTACCGATGCGTATTATATTTATAATATTGCATACATTAATCTTGAAAAAAAAACCAAACATTTTATACTCGTTGTCACGTGACCGTAAACAGCGCGTGACGTCACAACCCTCTTACTCATAACAGAACTTCGAAAATATTAGTTTCAGAGTGCCGTGACGTCATAGCACCGCCATGACAGAAGTGGCGTTTACGCGGGAGATTTTGAGAAATGAAATTAGTTTTTAGATTTTTAACTTATTATTAGAATGATTTTTTTATACGTTTCATGTATATATATGAATTAAAAATAAAAAAAAATGTCTACACCCCAATTATGGGTTTTAATTAAACAAATTAATTTATTAACAGAACACTTTACGGTCATTAATTAAGTTGCTTTTTTCATCAGGAATAAAATACATAATGTTACTTGTCACAATACCCGCGAGTATGGTGCCATATTTATGACGTCATTCCGATCGGTCTATGATACGGTTGTTATGCAATTTTCGCGAAACCCGGTCACGGGATGGGTGACCAAAAATTTTCTCTCACTCCTCCGTGCTTCGGAAGGCACGTTAAGTCGGTTCCAGCTGCGTCTACAGTGTTTAACACCCACCAATCCGCACTGGGCCCGCGTGGATCATTGGCCTTTCCGATTCGTTTTCATTTGTATGGAAGGCTTGAGCCCCAGCAGTCTGCATTTGCGTTAACACCTACCAATCCGCACTGGGTCCACGTGCATCATTGGCCTTTTCGATTCATTTCAACTATACGGAAGGTCTGAGCCCCAGTAGACTGCATTTGCCGTTAACACCCACCAATCCGCACTGGGTCCACGTGGATCATCGGCCTTTCCGATCCGTCTCCATCAACATGGAAGGCCTGAGCCTGAGTGGGGACATTAACATTACCTGCTGTACACGAGCATGACGGATTTCTTCCACAGTCTATGTTCCCTTTCCGCGTCACTGGCACTGGGTGATTCTGGAGCACTCTCAGAACCAGACCAAGCTGTGAAATATGAATGAATGAATGAATGAATGAAAGACTCTTTATTGTACACACCATAAGCAAATGAACAATACATAATAATGTAACAGAACAGTACAAGTGGCGGCCTCATTGCTAATAAGCAATTTCTTCCAGACAACCTTAACATACCATACAGGATACAGTTGAAAAATTGGGTAGCCTATGGTGCATTAAGTCTATACCATTACATAACAAAAACATTAATGGTTGAGTAGGAAAATTGTTTAATACATAAGCATACATATATATTTATATATATGTACTTAAGAATGCAAAGTTAGGATTATGATTGCTGCAATGAATTCAGTGATAATATGAATGAATGAATGAATTATTTATTAAACAAGTGCACGATAACAAATTTTGGAAATAAGGAAGTATTAAAAAAACATTAGTTCCCGAAATCAAACTAGATGTCGCTACGGTACGTTCTTGATTGCTCCACGACAACCCTTCCGGTTTTCTTTCATGTATAAAAGTAAATTAGTTTTCAGAACTCAATAAACAACTCATATTCTATTTGTACTTTTTCGTATTTGTATCGGTATCTAAGTTTCGAACTTTGCCAATTTCAGTTTTTTAATATGTCAGTTAAAAGGAACGGAAATGACTGTCTTTGATCCATTCGTTTCCTGCAAAAATCAACTTTTGCTAGAGTCGCCATCTAGTGGAGGTGCTTTTTTAATGCTTTCGTTTTTTTTTTTTAATACTTCCTCATTAAGATCAAGTAAATCATAATCAATGTACAAGAATAATCATATAATCTAGCTTTCCGCCGGCAGCTTCGCCAGCATGGTCCCTAAGGAACTGTTTAGTGGGATAAAAAGTATCCTATTATCTAAGTCAGCTAATACCCTATCTGAATACCAAATTTCATCAAAATCCGTTTATTAGTTTCGGCGTGATTGACCGACAAACATCCAAACAAAGAAACTTTTACATTTATAATATTAATAGGATAATAAGATAGGATAACTCATCTGGATAAGGTTTCATATCACGACACGGATATAATTACAATGACAAATTGAATAGTAAACTATGGTTACTGTGGTAACTTTTAATTCTCCATACAAACTTCCACACCCATTTGCTGTTTCGGGATAAAATAAAGCCTATAACCTAATACAATGTAGCTTCCTAATATTATACTATTCTAATATTATAAAAAGGAAATATTTGATTATTTGTTTGTTTACATTGAATGGGCTCCGAAACTACTGGAACTATTTTAAAAATGCATCATATACGGGGGATATGGGCTATAATATATGCGTGCAAAGTCGCAGGAAACAGCTAGTCTATAGAAGCAGCTAGAGAAAGATCACTCACTCATCATGAAATCTCAGAAACAACAAGTGCTAGGAGTTTCAAATTTCACATACGGGTTCTTTTTAGGACGTAGGTGCTCACTAAGACAGGATTTTACGACATTCAACCCCTAAGGGGATAAATTAGGGGATGAAAGTTTGTATGAAACTTCGTTACTCCAACTGCTTGGAGTTTCAAATTTTGTATGCGTATTCTTTTTAGGATTTAGGTGCTCACTAAGACAGGATTTTATGAAATTCAACCCCTAAGTGATTAAATTAGGGGATGAGTTATTATGGAAGAAAAATCCATATTACTGAACTTAAAAATAGATCACGCTAGTATTAATATAAATATAAAGTAACAGTGACTCACTTCTCGAATTAGATTTCTTCTTCCTGGAATAATCTCTCTTCTTTTTGCCATCTTTCTCTTCCTCTCTGCTCAACTGTAACAAAAGATAGATTACAATGTATATCAACTACGTCGTATATTAATAAATATAACATCAGTTAAGTGATGGTGATGATGAAGACGGTGATGAAAGTGATGAAAGTGATGATGGTCACGATATAGTTGATAATAATTGTTACATTAGAGATTACGCGTAGTGGAAAAAATGTGCTTAACGTTAAGAAATATACATATATAACTCAAAGGTGACTGACTGACATAGTGATCTATCAACGCCCAAACCACTGGACGGATCGGGCTGAAATTTGGCATGCAGGTAGATGTTATGACGTAGGCATCCGCTAAGAAAGGATTTTGATCAATTCTACCAACAAGGGTATAAAATAGGGGATGAAAGTTTGTATGAAACTTTGTCAATTTTAAACCGACCGGGCTGAGACTTTGCATGCATAAAGCTACTAAAACGTAGGCATTCACTAAGAAAGGATTTTAATAAATTCCACCCCTAAGGGGATAAAATAGGGGATGAAAGTTTGAATGAACCTTAAATTTTCGACTGATCGAACTGAAATTAAAGATTGGAGCTACTATGATGAAGACGTCCGCTTTAATAGGAACTTGATAAATTCAACCCCCTTGGGGATAAAATAAGGGATGATGGAGGATGTAAATGTAGTAGATATAATGAATAAATATTCATTAGAAATGCTGCTCAAAGTAACTTTACCACGCGAAGTCGCGGGCAAAAGCTAGTTATAGTATATTTACCTCCATAGGCGTGTCGTCATCTGTCTCAGTATGCGAGTCTTCTTCTCTCGGTTTCGGTGCTTGAGATGGAGGCGTTTCTTTCGTTATCTCTTTCAACGGTATAGAATCCTAAACAGAACAATTAAAATACAAAAAAAATTACAAAAATTTAAAAAAAATAGAACGGACTTCAACATTTAAAAAAAAAGTGAGAAAAGATACTTGTCTTTAAAGCAAATAAATATTTTTTTTAAATATTAAATGTCAGGCCGAGGTTTTCTGTAATTAATTAAATATCAACCGCCTAACATCAATGTTTCTTAAAAAAAATATAACCGCTTTTAAGATAAGCATTATTTTTAATTTTTTTTTAATTATGAAGTCTGTTCCATTTTTTTAATAAAAAGTTTTTAGTTTATGCATTTTAGTGATATTTTAAGTGTTGGGTAACAGACATCAGGCATACTTAATGCAAATTTAATACTTATATGGTTTTTCATTAAGAGTTGCATTGTAATCAGAATTAAAGGTATATTTTTCAACTCAAACGGAGACTGGGAAGTGGGCGAAATTTTGCTTGCAAGATTTTATTACCGAAAGACAAATATACAGGTGAAACTAAATAAAAATCTTGTAATTAAATACATTTGAACCTATAAACTTTTGCCTATAATATTAGTAAGAAAATAATCTAAGTACACTATATAAGCATACTAAAAAAATCATCCAAGATAATGCTAAGTAACGATGACTGATTTTTCACTACATAGTACAAACAAAGTCGCTTTCTGTCCCTATATCCGTATGTATGCTTAAATCTTTAAAACTACGCAACGGATTTTGATGCAGTTTATTTTCATAGACAGGGTGATTCAAAAGGAAGGTTTTTATGTATAATACAAGAGCACGCGGGCGAAGCCGCCGGCGGTAAGCTAGTAATAATAATATATGGGCCATGACTCGTGATCATATTTCCTTTGGATTCTTACCTATTCTAATAAACGTCTAGTTTATGATATCTTAAAAAAAACGCCGTGATTTCAATAGCTATTGCATGTTAAATTTTTGTAATGTAAAATTCGTGAATATCTTTCAAATGTCAAATTGAAAGGATTTTAAAGTTGGACAATAGGCTAGTTGCCAACTTTTTTTTTATTTCCTAAATAAATAGTCCATTAACATTTGAGAAATAATGTAGAAGTAACAGCATGTCTGCGATTAATAGTTTCGGAGATACGGTCCTATGTTTGTGGAACTGCTGCTAGTTGGCCGAAAACGCTCCCTACAAATTCAAGGCACTCAGTGACGTCACACGGTGCTACAGTAGCGAAAAATGTATGGGCGTCTGGACATTTTTTGTAATATCTTTGTTATTTGTGCCTTTATGTTTATAGCTGTTATAATGAAAGTTGTCACATTTTTTATATCTAATTTAATGCCTTATGTATTTTAGCAAATTTTTGTAGTAGATTTTTCTACTTTTTTCAAGTTTTCAAAGCTTAATATTTTCCAAATCATTGACTTAAAATTTGTTTTGTTAAACATTTATAAGTTAAAATGGTTCATATTTTTCGAAGATATAACAAAAACCCGTATTTTCACTTGTAGGACACAAGCCTATTAACCCCCTGTTTATTTCAAGTTTTATTTCTAATAAAATAAACATAATTAATACCTCCGCGTCTTCTTCTCTCTTCACTTCTGTTACGATCTCTTCTGTGCTCGGTTGTTCTTCTTCTGGTTGCGGTTCGATCGCCTCTTCTTTTATTACTTCCGGTTCTAGCGGCGGTGGCACAACCGGTTCTTCAGCAATTGGGGGTTCCTCGTCTTTGTTAATGGAATTAAGAATAATTTAATTTCAGAATAGGGTATTCTATTTTTTTTTTGTTATAATTGAAATAAGTTACAATAAAAATACTTCAATTTAAATGACGTCATATAGACAAAAATCATGACTTCTAATCTATACAAATAAATAAAATTGCAGTGTTTGTTTGTAATAATAAAATAACCGCATTTTACTAAATTCATATGCATTTTACTGGCAGATAGCATAAGTAATAAGGGGTAACTTAGGTTACTTTCCACGCGTACAAAGTCGCGGGCACAGCTATGAGTAAGTAAAGTAAGAACAGCGCCATCTAGGAATCGGCTTTAGAATAAATAGGCTGCTTTTTACAATTTCAATACTTTCGAAAGCATATTGAGAGTCGCGACAAAAATGCGTGAGAGCTTTCTTAAGTATGAAATTTATAGTCTAAGAGATTGTGAGAAAAATGTGCATGTGCTTTCTAAAGCTAGATATTTATAGTCTAAGAGGTCGTGACAAAAATATTCTAGAGCTCTCTAAACATTGATATTTATAGTCCAAAGTTCGTGGCAAAAAGGTGCTAGAGCTTTCTAGTATGAAATTTATAGTCTAAGATATTGTGAGAAAAATGTGCATGAGCTTTCTAAAGCTTCATATTTATAGTCTAAGGGGCGTGACAAAAATATGCTAGAGCTTTCTAAAGCTTGATATTTATAGTGTCGTGACAAAAATATGCTAGACCTCTCTAAAGATTGATATTTATAGTCCAAGAGATCGTGACAAAAATATGCTATAGCTTTTTAAGCTCGATATTTCAGTATTTTGAAGTACTAATCACTCAGTGGGGAGGTCAGCCGCTGGAACACACACACTGTAGTGATTTACTTCAATATACTGAAATATTAAGCTTTAGAAAATAATATTTTTCTGTCCGTCTATAATCTTACAGCAAATCTATAGTGTCATGAAAATCACCTTCCACCGGTTGTTCCTCTTGTTTTATTTCTGGTTCTGGTTCCGGTTCCGGTTCCACAGGCGGAGTGGGGGGACGCGTGGGAGGGGAGGGGGAGTCGGTCTCCCCCACCACCACTTCCGCCGGCGCTTCCTCCTCCACAGCTTCCGTTGATACCTCCACTAGTGTTTCGTTCGGTTGCTCAGTACTATAATAATAATAATAATATTGTCATATAATATATTAATATATCGTCTTATCCATATTAAGATATCGTCATAAATTTCTGAATAATCACATTGTTAATGGTTACATAACTCACTTTTCTTCTTCTACAGCGGCAACTTGCGGCACTTCCTCTATTGTAACCTCTTCCGGTACAACTTCTGCGATTTCCTGTTCCGGTATCACGACCTCCGGTTCTTTGACTTCCTCTTTAATCTGCTGGATAATAAATTATTCTATTACTTTTGTATATCGTTATCTCAAAAACTTTAAGTGATACGAGTCTCAAATTTTGCATATGGGTCCTTTGAGGGCTTAGGTACTGAAATTAAATTTTGCGAAATTCAACCCCCGGGGTTTGTTTTTGGGGTTGAAATTAGTATTGAAATTCGTTACTACAAGTACTAGAAGTCTCAAATTGTTAATAGGAGTTCTCTTTAGTATTTCGAATTAACATATAAGCTATTTTTTATCTCACGAAACGGTTCTAAAATTTGTTTGTCTGTTTACATTGAATAGACGCCTAATTACTTGACCGATTTAAATTATATCATCATCATCATCAGCCCATTTACATCACCACTGCAGGGGCTCAGGCCTTCAGTTAAGGAAGATAGACAGTTAAGGAAGATACGTATTTTTTTACTTCAATTTAACTAGAAATAGCTTAGATCATCATCATCATCATCAGCCCTTTTACGTCCCCACTGCAGGGGCTCAGGCCTTCCTTATGGATGGTTAAGGAGGATGGGCCGTGACCCTCCACGCTGGCCCAATGCGGATTGGAGGGTATTAACGACTGTAGATACACCCGGGATCAACGGCTTAACGTGCCTTCCGAAGCACGTAGTGGCTCTAGGTAATAATTTTTCGGTCACCCATCCTGTGGTCGACCCTTGCGAAAGTTGCTTAACAACAATGATCGTGGGCGGCGTTTATCCGCTACGCCACCGAGCTAATAAAACATAAGTACCTTGTGCTCGTCCGGCTGAATGACCTTTATTTCCGGCGTTGGGAATTTCACTTCCGGGAAGGAGATCTTCACTTCCGGTTCCGGTTGCGGAGGCGGCGGCGGCGATGGGACTTCCACTTCGACCGTCGTTTCTTCTACTTCTGGCACTTGCTGATATTATTAATTACGAATTAATTATCTGATATATTGTGGTTTGATTAAACGTTGTCCTATTAAGGCTCCATTGTACCACCGCTAACGTTCCCATACATATTTTTATGGGAAAGTAAAGACGCGCTTGATTTCATACATATTGAATAGAAAAAAAAAATAATAATAAAAAAAATTTGAAAAGAATATATCAAAACCTTTTTTTGTATATACTCTTTATACAGTTAAGATTAAATGTATTAGTAGTAAAATAGATCCCAAAAAACCTATTTAGTCAACTTATCGCCATTTTTTCTATCGAGCCTATAGAGAATCGGACAAAATTAGAAAAAACTATTTTAAATTAATCAATATGGATACTTATTACCTCATAAATATTATTTAAAGTAAAAAAGTCTTATTGTGTACCAAAAACTATGTAAAAAAACGTGTAGTGGTAAACTAATTCTCAGAGAAAATATTTTTTTTTCATATTATGCTGTATTTGAATTAAAATTAACAAATAAATATTATTTACACAAGTAAATCAATATCAATAATCAAGTGCAATATACATTGTATAATGAGGTTATAAGTTGATAGTAAAAAATTAAAAGGAAAATTTTAATTTCTTTGTTTAAGAGCGTTTGAATAAAACCTTTTTTTTAAGTATTTTTGCTTGAATTTTTTTTAATTATTCTCGGCAAGCCCTTTCATTTGATACCCTCATTACAGAAGTGCATAAATAATAACTATTCCGCCATTTTGGATTTATAATAATGTCATATTCTTTTTCAAGTTACTCTCAACGAGCCCTTTCATTTAATACCCATTTTGTAGAAGTGTTTTAAAAATAACTATTCCGCCATCTTGGATGGTCCGCCATATTGGATTTGGTATGACGTCACACACTTATCCTGCATTGTCATTATTTGTCATCCAAACTAAATGTGTACACAAAATTTCAGCTCAATCAGTTGAAGATATTTACTATATAATTGAGTTCAAAGTTACCCCTCAAACAAACATACTTACATATATTGCAAGTTACATATATAAAAGCTTTTAATAAATAAATTATGATTATATTCACCGTTTCTAAAGGCGTCGGTTGAACTTCTTCTGGTATATCTTCAATTGCCATAGGTTCCTCCTGGAGACACATAAACACCCACTTACAAAAAGCCGGACAATCACCACGTAGTAAAAAACAAAGTCGCCTTCTCTGTCCCTATATCCGTATGTATGCTTAAATATTTAAAACTACGCAACGGATTTTAGTGCGGATTTTATACATAGACAGGGTGATTCAAAAGGAAGGTTTTTATGTATAATACAAGAGCACGCGGGCAAAGCCGCTAGCAGAAAGCTAGTGAGTAAATATTAAAAGAAAATGTTCAGAAAGAATACTAGATGTCATCATCATCACCAGCCTTCCCCACTGCTGGCGTCGGGCCTTCCCTATGGAATAGGGCCATAACTTACCACGCGGACCGAGTGCGGATTGGTGGGTGTTAACTAGTGATGTTCGGGATCATTAAAAATCTATATCCGCGGATACGGATCCGGATATTTGGTGTCAAGATCCGCGGATACGGATCTTTATAATAGGGATGATGACTAATTTTTGTTTGTTTGTCCGACAGGTAGAGTGTTAAAAAATATTAAACACGTATTTTTTTATTATTTTCGTAATCATAAAATTACGGCGTTATATTGAGTTAAAAATTCTCATGACGTCACGTTGTGGTACGTTTTCTATTCAACTGTGACGTAGCGAGCCCCCACTCCTCAAATTTAATGCCTGTTATCTAAGCTATTTCTTGTTAAATTGAAGTAAAAAAAAATACGTATCTAATATTTTTCTATTATCTGACTGACGGACTAAATAGAATTGCATTTTTTTTACCCAGTCATCATCCCTATTAATATTTTTTTCCAGTTCCCCTAATTTTCATTGTGTTTGCTCGTGTAATCCAATGTTTACACTTTAAATTGTAGGTAGTACCTACTAGGTACGCAGTATTAATGAACATCACTAGTGTTAACTATCACAGATGGAGATGGCACCGACTCAACGTGCTTTCTGAGGCACGGAGAGATAATAAATTTTGGTCACCCATCCTAAGAGCAGCCATTGCGAAAGTTGCTTAGCAACAAAGATTTTATCGGTATAACCCTAAAGATATTGTGGAACAAATCAATAGTAATTTCACTTACCTTAATGGTTTCTTGTACAATCTCCGGCGATTCATCAATAGTAGATGTTTCAATTTCATCTTTTTTGTATGGCGATTTTTCTAATACCCTTGAATATAATATAAAAACAATATTATATAATTCTTATATTTGATCAATAGGATATTCTACTCTATTTAAAATAATATTTTTACTGTTTATTTCAGTAAAAAAAGCCATAAAACAAATATTTCTGACAAATTAAACGTCTTTGCCTTAAAAATAAATAAAATTTAATCTTTTTTTATACCCAGTTGTCTGTCATATCCGGATTTTGATACGGTTTATTTTCATAGACAGGGTGATTCAAAAGGAACGTTTTCATGTATAATACAAGAGCACGTGGGCGAAGCCGCTGGCGGAAAGCTAGTGAAAATATATAAATAAGCTAAGAACGGCGCCATCTAGGAATTTGATTTATAATTACTAGGTATATATTTATGACTAATCTGACAGTTGTCACCACAGTGACATCACACAATGGCGGGACGTTTTTCAAGTCACGTGACACACAGATATAAAATCACGCCTTTTAATTTTAGGTTAATAAGACTCAAAATAAGAATCTCGCTACTTATTATTGACTAGCGAATCTACCGTACTTTGCTTTCGCAGTTTCGCAAAAACCCACTTTGTTCCGGCACTCTGAGATGGGACTCGAATACATGAACTTTCGTAATCCGGGCGGCTGCTCTAACCACTGATCTATCCAGGACCTAACAGGACTGACGAATCTTTCAAACACTTGTAAGGTACTTTTCGCTACTAATAAATTAAAAATTCATGTAAAGAACATACTTATGAGTAAAAGCTATTATAAAGTTGATGATTATTTTAAGGGGCATGCATGGAATTAATAGCCTTCGCTTTGTTCTATAACGACTAATTATATGTACAACCTATGTCCTACAGACTTTGAAAGTTGTATTTATTATTGTGATAATACATATTATTTTGGTAATGACATGACTTATGTAAATGTCATTACTTATGATAGAGAGCTGGTAAGTTTCTTTCGCTTGTTCTTCTTGTCAGCTAAAAGACGACCTGAACAAATGATAGGAGAAAAATTTTTTTTGGACGATTCACAAGTGCTTTAAATAGGCCTACCTGAATAAAGATATTTTAATTTCATTACTAATGAGCATAGTCTCATCAATATTAAGGCAATTCACCCAAACAGCCAAAAAAAAAAATACATTTAACATTCAATAAGATGGTTAGAGTAGGCGCCCGAATTGCAAAAATTGTGATTCGAATCCCACCTCAGGGTAACTGGGGTAGAAATTTTAAGTATTTCTTATTAAAAATGGGATTTCCATTTAATTAATAACCTACAGGAGACCTTAGCCCGACTTGAATAGCAATTTCCCAAATAAATCGCTTTTAAAATAAATATAATTTCCCACTTTTATAAGTCTAAAGTCAGTTTTATTAAAACTAATGTTAACATGTCATCTAAATATTAATGTTATGTTTGATATTGAAAAAAAAAAGCATATTTTTTTATATGGGACAAATTTATCAAAATCGGTCAAGCCGTTTAGGAGGAATATGGTAACTAAAACTGTGAACACGAGATTTTTTTATACATACTGGCTTTTTTCAGCGGCTTCGCCTACGTGCACTCTAGGGAACCTTGATTAACACACGGGTTATTTTTTATCTGACTTTTAGGAAGGATAAAAAATAGCCCATATGTTAATCCAGGTCTAGAATTTAATAATTCATTTGGATAAAGTTTCATTTAATGATAATGATATAATTACAATGAAAAATTGAATAGTAAACAATGGTTACTGTGGTAACTTTTTAATTCCCCATACAAACTTCCACTCCCATTTTCATACCACTATTTGCTGTTTTTCGGTATAAAATATATCCTATGTCCACCGCATATGATGTAGCTACACGTAGGTGGAAGAATTTTTGAAACCGTTTCAGTAGTTTCAGAGTCTATTCGATGCAAACAAACAAACAAATCTGTCCTCTTTATAATATTAATATAGATTATTATATATACAACGTGTCCCAAAATTCAACGATAAGCGGGCGCCAAGAGGTACCCTTGCTCATGTGTACTTATGGAAAAATAAGAAAAAAATTATATCTTATTATTCTTTTTTATTATAAAATAAAATTCGAAAATTTTCGAAATAGTTGTAGCGAATAGTATTGCTACTTAGGTATCCGATACGATCCGATATATTGAAAATATCATAAAAGGTGTAAATTTTCGAAGATTTTCGAATTTAATTTTATAATGAAAAAGATTAGATATAATTTTTTTCTTATTTTTCCATAAGTACACATGAGCAAGGGTACCTCTTGGCGCCCGCTTATCGTTGAGTTTTGGGACACGTTGTATATTACGTGAAGCAAAAACTTTGGATCCATTTTTACGAAAATTGCAAGGACAGAGGAGCATGAAATTTGGCAGGGGAAGTGCAAACGGCTAATATTTTTCAAAAATAATGCTTATAAAGTACATTGAATCGATATATAAAACATTACACACACTACTATGCATTTGACACACACAAACAAGTATTTGCTATACGCATACATGTACTCTTTTGTATATTGGCCACGCACGGTTTGTGCATTGAGCCAGTGTCGAGTTGTATATGTTTACCGTAGACATATATTTGTATGTTTGTGATGTTAACTGTGGTCTTACTGAATGTCAAAAGATTTTCGATTGATTAATTGAAATTTATTATGGTCGAATTTAAAGTAAATGAGTAATTTATTTGCTAGAAATGCGGTTTACAATAAAGATATTAGCAAAATAATAGTCCAGGCACATTTCGCTATAAATAGCATGCAATTTTTTTTAAATAATATTAAAAATTATGATTATTAAATTAATATTCGTACAAACATATTATGTAACAATTAGCAAGTCCATCAGATATAATTAAAATAAGCAAGAATCACACATACAACCTTAATACAATTAACAATGTTAATAATAAACTTACGGATATAGCATCTTATAATTTATTTTAATTAATTAATTAAAATCTTTATGTCATTTGTTTAATTGATTCATAATATAGTAATGTCTATATTGTGAATTGGAGATACTCATATTTATCATTAATTATAATTAACTAAAATGTCAATTTTTATGTCTCTTGTCTAAATATTCATTGATACAATAAAAATACTTTTGCGGTAGCCATTGGTGCAGTTCAAGCTTAAATGTCGATAGCGGGAATTTCTTTAAATTTTCAAGTAAGTTATTAAATAACTTAATATAAAGATAAAATATTATATAAATAATATAATAAATATTATTATAAAGATGAAATGTTTTTTATAATAATCTATATTTTGAAAATTGTTTCACCTACGGAATCCTACATCATATGCGGGTGATTAAGGTTATAATAGTCGTGGACAAAGTCGCGGGAAAACAGCTAGTGTAATAATATATAACTCACCTGTTTGTAGGTTTGTGCATAGTCGTCACCGGAGGTATATGGATGTCTATATCTTTAAAAGCATATACGTCTTCTGCTTTTATCTCTATATCATCTATATCGATCGCCGGAGCGGCTGGAGGTAAGGGTACCGGGGCCACAGGGGAAGCACTTGTGCTAGCTACACGATAAAGATTTTAATTTTTAAAACAAGCTTCTATTTATTGCTTTATATTCTACAAGTTAAGCACTTGACGGACATAATTGGGCGGGTTGTTCTGAAATATGAACGCCGCCATTTTGTTAAAGCGGCCATCTTGTATTTTATTTTTTTCAATTGCCCGGACTTACTATATGTGGCCTTGTTCTTTCTATTTATTCTATCTCTGTCATTCCTTTCCGGCCGGGATCGCCGTTTCCTGCTCTATCTATTTATTTTTATTTATTTCTTAATACTAGAGGATTATATACATGGGTGTTTCTTTTTATTTATGTTTTCTTGTTTTCGTTTGTATTCCTTTTTTCTATTCACATATATTCTTACTCTACTTTTGATGTTTGCAATCTTGTATTAATAATTGCATTAGCTCAAACGGAGACTGGATGGGGGAGGGGGGGGATTTAGCTTGAAAGATTTGATTACAGAAAGAATAACATCGGGTCAGATAAAATTAAATGAAAGCCCATTGCCTATGGAGCTGAGACCGGAGGCCATGCCATCCGAAGCACGGAGGAGAGATAACAAATTTTTGCTCACCCATCCTATGACTAGCCTTTGAGAAGGTTACTTAACATTCATGATTGCTCTTACTCTTTAATTTTATATGCTATCAAATTATTTATATTTTAAATTGATTTATTTTAATGACCTCCAAGACCGAGAGGTTTAAAGGTGTCGCCATATACGAGGTCCCGAGTTCGATGCCCGGTCGTGTCAATAAAGAAAATTATCTTTTCTATATTGTCTCGAGTCTGGGTGTTGTGGTACCTTCATTGTCTCAGATACTCCATAATACAGGGACTTTAGCTACTCATCTTGGAGTCTGAGCAATGTAGGTGATATTCAAAAATATTTTTTTTTTATTATTAAAAATATGTCTACTAAATAATCAGATTTTCTCAAATATCTATAAATAAATGTGATGATTTTTTCCATACATAATTTAAAGCTGATTCCTAACTGTTTACTATTTATTTCAATAAAGCACTAATTCAAACCAAATGACCCAACTTGCATTATAAAATTATCATTCTAGTCTAAGAGCTCGTGACAAAGATTGCAAGAGCTCTCTAAACCTTGATACTTCAGTATGTCGAAGTACTAAGGGTATAACATCATTCAGAACCCGTGGTTCAGGTTCTGGATCAGCTCGAAGCCGACTGTCAAAACAAACTTCTGCTGTATGCTTCCGAGTATCTGTTCTGAACTTACTATATAACTTAGTGATTAATATAATTTCAGTCGTTAGAAAACTCTTATCCAATTTTCATCAATTAAGGTCCAAAAACAAAGAAGTTTTATACAAACTTTTTCATTTTCGTTTTTAGTAGACCTCTTCGTAATTAGACAAATGTACCCTTCAAATTTGAAATCTCTACCAGTGGTTTAGACTGCACGTTGTCTGTCAGTCAGTAAATCAGGACATCTTTTGTTTCAGTATAGATTATTGAATGTCAAGTGTAAATTTATTTTCGTTATTATTTATTTCAATATCAAGCTTTATATCGATGTCTCAGTACTTGAAATACCTGAAATAACAAGCTTTAGAAACTCTTGCACATTTTAGTCACGAGCTCTCGGTCCATTAACCTATAATGTAAGGTTAAACAAATCTCACCGATCAGCTGTTGCTCTATTTGTACAAGCTGACTCTTGATATGCTCTATGGCCGCGTGCTTGCTCTCATGCTGTGTCGCCCCAGAAGGCGCTGACTTCTCCAGAAGCATAGACAATGTAGGCGCAGTGGCAGAAGGAGAAATAGTCTCTATAACAAGATTATCATCAACAACCTGATTAGAGGCGTATTTACTAGTAGCTCGGTGGCGTAGTGGATAAGCAGTGACATAGTAATTGTTTGGTCACCCATCCCGCGATCGACCACTGCGAAAGTTGCTTAACAACAACGATCGCTGGCGCTTATCCACTATGCCACCGAGTTATTCGTATACATACTATACTCATTGTTACTTTACTGTTTGGTCACTACTCTTGTGAATGACGTTTGACGTTTATTAAAAAAAAACTATTTACCACATGCGCTAGTGCTGCAATCTTAAGTTATAAAGTTGCATCAATACGTCCTTATTGTTGACCTTATGTATTTCTCTAGAGATGCCCCGAATATCCGTTTAGTATTCGGTTTTCGGCGTATTCAGCACCATTTTCACAACCTATTCATATTCGGCCTAAAAAATCATTTTTGGCGCTTGATATATTCGGTTCGAGTATTTCTATATCTTGGCCACAAGATACGGTATACAAACAGACAAAAAGACAAAACTTCTTATATCATTATAAGTAAATAAATGATGTGTTCAATAAAGCTATTGAAATAATGATATTTAACTTTAAATCAACATTTGATTTTATTTCGTTTACGCGGCAAAACGATGATACCGAAAAATTCGGCCGAATATCCGGTTCGGTAAACATCAAACTGAATAGTATTCGGTTATTGGGTGAAACAACTATACCGTGCATCTCTAATTCTTACCAACGACGTTTGCTGGATGTGATATGTGTTGTGGTGTCGTCACCACTGGTGATGATTTCAGTAGTGACGTCAGTAGCGGGGACGACGGCGTCGTTGGAGTTGCTACAGTAAAAAAAGGTCTTATTATATAAGGAAAAGATTCAGCCTAAGATCCGCCATTTTGTTTCAGACGCCATTTGAGTTGCTTCAGTAAAAAAAACGGTCTTATCTATATTAAATAAATTGAGCTTTATATATTAAATAATATATAGTTAAGATTCACCCTAAGATCCGCCATTTTGTTTCAGACGCCATTTTAGAATTGGATTTGTTTAAGTGTGTCGTATTTTATAAACCAGACACTTTCTTTTGGTTATAAAAAATATGTGAGAGACGATAAGTATTATTACTCACTTTTTTTAAAAATTGAAGTAGGTACTATTTAAAAAAAATAAACTTGATTTTTAGTGACATATATTTTTTCTTGTCACTTAAAACGTAATTATATACGGGTCAAACAGAGAACCTCCTCTTTTCGTTAAATAATTCTTATATATCGTTAAAGAATAATTATAAATTCTTCTCCTAAGTGTAACAAAAGCTTCTTTGAAAACCGGCATCAGAATCGGCTCAGCCAAACGCAAGATAATCGCGAACAAACATACTTACAATGAGTTTCACAAACATTAGTCTAAAGCAAAATTATCGATACAAATTTGAACTTAATTAGAGCTTAAAGGCGTTATTAAACCTCAAAGGAAGTTTGTGCAATGGACTGCTAGGGGTCTAATTTAAAAATCTACCGTAATCCCTTTCAATTTGACATTTGAAAGAAATTCAACGAAAAAGTTGTATTGCAACCTTTAAAGTTATATGATTTTAAAGTTATACGTATTCTAAAAAAGGAGATGTGTATTCTATAAAAAATAACCTAATCCAAAAACCTTTTAAGTTATGTTCCTTGTCATATTACGCCACGCTATGAAAATAACCTAATCCAAATACCTTCTAAGTTAACTTTACACAGTTCCGGAACTTATAAAATGTAAATTAAAATTTATAATAAATTACCTGAATACCCAAAGAACGAAACAACATACACTCGATTTATAAGAATGCTAAAGAATATACTATTAAATAAATGCTATTATACAGTGAATGAATATTTGAATGAAAAGTTTTAGATAAAATGGAATGTCTGACCCTCTTTTTTCCATCTATCTATATTGCCATGCCTATCATGGTGCATGTGAATATTATTAACTGAAATTTATGTATTTAATTTCTAAGTCACATGTATGCAATGCAATGAAATAAATAAATTATTCCATAAATTGACATCTTAATCACTGTACCTTTTTAAAAGGATTGCGATAGGTTATGTAATTGGAGAATTAGAGGGTATCATTTTGTTACCTGGTGCGGTAGGCGTGGTAGGTTGGGGCGGACGCCATGTTCTATCAGCGCGAGCGCGCCGTTCCTCCCTCTCTTTCAGCCACGCGGCGCGGCGGGCGTTCTCTCTCTCTTTCGCACGCTTGTTAGCCTCTATGCTCGCCCATAGTTCTTTTAACCTCTCATCGGACGTTGACGGATTGCGCACTTCAGTTATTTCAGTCTATTATAAGATTATAGTTCAGTTATTTAAGTACAATCCATCTGTAGTTATATTAAAAAGAAGAAAGATTTGTTTGTTCGCAACAAATAGGCTCCGGAACAATTAGACCCATTTTAAAAATTCTTTCACCTACGAGATACAGCTACATCATATATACATTTTATCCCGAACAACAAATAAAGGAATAAAAATGAGAGTGGAAGTTAGTATACGGAATTAAAACGTTAGGAGCTGTCCATTAATCACGTGATGTTTTTCAACATTTTTTGACCAAGACTCGACAAGGCCTGAGCCCTTGCAGTGGGGATTTAAAAGGGCTAATAATGAGGGTAGTCACAAAACAGTTTTAAAGGGACATTCATCATACCTTCAATTGAGAATACTGCTGATTCATTTCGGCCAACGTTTTCTGAATCTCAACAATCCTCTCTTGAGTGAGTCGCTTCAGTATACTCTCTTGCGGAGTCTCCACAGCGCCTTCGGAGCTTCTCTTTTTCCTCTTCGGTGTCTCCACATGTTCTAATAGCGCTCCGTATTGTGCTGCACAGCTAAAAAAAAACACATCATTTCATAATCCAGTGGTGAGAATGTGCCAGACTTACAATAAATATAATCAATCCAGATATATTTAACCCAAGATTCTTACAAAATAAAAACTAGGATACTTTCGTTAGTGAAAAATACGTAACGAAATTGCACAAAAACTAAAATTTGCGTCGTAAAAAATTTAATATTCTGATTTTGAGTCTTAATATCGCATGATAAACTTGATATCCTAAAATGAGAAAGTATTTAAAAAAAAAGATTAGTTCCCGAAATCAAACTAGATGTCGTTACTTTCTTAATTTCTCCATGACAACCCTTCCGGTTTTCTTCCATGTATAAAAGTGAATTAATTCTCAAAACAAAATAAACAACTCATATTCTGTGTGCTTTTTCGTATTTGTATTGGTATATAACTTTCGAACTTTGCAAATTTCAGTTTTTAATATGTTAGTTAAAAGGAACGGAACGGAAATCTTTGGTCCATTCGTTTCCTGCAAAAATCAACTTTTGCTAGAGTCGCCATCTAGTGGAGGTGCTTTTTAGTGCTTCCTTTTTTTATATACTTCCTCATTGAAAGTCGTGATTTATTGTCTGTGTGTCACGTGACCTACCATTGTATGACGTCACTGTGGCAACGGCTGTCAAATTAATCATAATGATATGCTTAACAATTACATATCAAATTACTAGATGGCGGTGTTCTTAGCTTATTTATATCTTTTTATTTCGTGATCGATATTGGGATGGCACTGTTCTTGTTTCGTTCACATCTTTTTTTCTTCGACTAAAAGATAGATAGATAACACAATGACGTCATGAATATGAAGGAAAGCAATTTTGATTTAAGTTTAAGGCAAGAAAACATGTTTATTTTTACGAAATATTTGTTTTATAGGCTTTTAATTGAAAATAAACAATTACAAGCAGCAGCGGTCTAACCTCATAGGACGTCCGGGGCAATTACAAAGCATTGACAACTTTTTCCAACCGCGGCAGAAACTTCTTATTGTTTCTCAACACAGCAGCAATTATTTTGGTTTGTTTTAATAATTTAGATTAACTTTTTTTGGGATATTAACACTCATTCGAAATGTAATCATTGTTAGCGACGCGACTATTGAAATGTATTTTTTTTTTAATAATGATAGCATAGAGGATTGATAGCACGAGTCGAATGACGTCTCGGCTTTTTTCTTTTTGTTTTTAGTTTGTCATTTTTTATATACTCTTTTTCAAAAGTGATTAAAAATTTTCCCTTCGAAAAAACTACGTCGTTTTCATTGGTATTTCGGACTTTTATTTTTTACTGCGAGCCCTCGTCGTCTACAAAGTGGTAGTCTTCGAGCAGGATCTTTCAATGTTTCGCACGCCGCCGCGTAACAAAATAATGGTCAACACTCATAGTACCGTACGGAAAGAAAGTCACACCAAGAACGACGTCGACGTCCAGCCACAAATGGAAAATTATGGTGCTGATAACATGAAGGTCGAAAATAAAACAGCTTCAGTTCAATCCTCCCCAAAATCTTCAAAGGCAGAAAGCAAATCGTCCGCAATTTTGGCCCAAAAAAAGAAACTTGAATTAGAAGCTGCGAAGGAAAAAGCTCGTATAGAAATTGACCTCATTAATAAGATGTTGGCGGCAGATCTAGCTGCTATTGATGATAATTACAGTCCAAACGCATCGGAGTGCAATAGTCAAAGTGACGGTCAGGATATTGAGGAGTGGCTTGAGCGCAGTCAAAATAAGCTGGAGAAACACGGAGCTAACAAACCTGGAACAATAAAAGGCTCAGCGTTTCCGCCGCCGCATGTCGACAGCACTGATGGTCCAGTTCAGCATTTGGTCAGCGTACTAAAGGATTTAGTCACCACTTCTGCATTTACTAGCCAGAACGCTAACTTGCTCAGCCGCATTAGCACACCGAGAGAGCTCCCAGTGTTTACTGGTGACTCTATGGAGTGGCTGTCATTTAAAAATGCTTATGAAGAGTCTACAGCTATATGTAACTTTAGTCAAAAACAAAACCTGTGGCGATTGAGGAGATGCCTTCTAGGTCCAGCTAAAGAAGCAGTCTCCGCTTTGTTGATAAGCACAACGGCGCTTGATATTGTTACGTCTACGCTTGAAATATTATTTGGAAATCCAGAAATAATAATTTCAAGAATATTGCACGATTTGAAGAAATTGAATACATTGCCACAAGAATAGCATAAAGACATAGTGCCATTTTTTATAAAAATAAAGAATTTTGTGTTTTCTGTGCATAAGCTTCAGCGCGAAGAGTATCTACTGGGGATTGATGTGGTAAATATGCTGCTAGCTAAATTACACACAGTTTTATTGTAGAAATGGGTAAATTAAAATTATCCAGTTATAGCTAAAGGACAAGTTGATTATTATCACGTGCTCCTAACTTTAGGGACCGTGATGGGTGGGCCAAATGACCCATGCGCCACCCGCACGCCGCTAGGATGGTGTCTACACGGAAAGGTACCGCTTTCGAGTTCTTCGATGGCACGAACACTTCATTCGACGTTCTTCTTTAGCTCCGCCGATCCTTCCGCGGGCAGCGAATGTAATAAAGATGATGAGCTTCGTAATCTTCACGATGATGTGCATCGTTATATTTCATTGAATCTATGGGAGTTTCTTCTGCAAAACCACGACAGAATTCAGAAGATCAGCTTGCCTGGAACTGCCTAGAAGAAACATCCACACTCATCAATGGTAGATGGCAAGTGGGCTTACCCTGGAGAGATAAAAACTGTGTACTGCCTGACTCATCACCGATGGCTATGACACGATTAAAATGTGTGGAACTAAAGTTAAAAAGGAATAAAGAATATGCAGCATTGTGTCATGAAACCATTCAACACTTTGTTATGAAACAAGATATAAAAAGAACTAAAAGATGATAAATCAAATTAAATAATTTATTTACATTAAACAAAAAAATAAAATAAAAGGGACGAGGTGATTAGTGAGGTGAAAAGTGTAGAAGTGTGAGTGAGAGTGTCTGTAGGTGAAGGGGCGTGGGTCAGCGGTGAAATTCCGTTGATGAAGTACTTCAGCAGTCTTGAGGGGCGTCTGGATCCCGAGCGTAAATTTAGCGAGGCGTAGTCTCTCGATGCGTCGAACAGGAGATTCTTCGGCAGCCAAGAACTGAGAGCGTAAATCGGTGAGGAGTAGTCTCGATGCGTCGTACTGGAGATTCTTCGGCAGCCAAGAACCGAGAGCGTAAATCGGCGAAGCGTAGTCTCGATGCGTCGAACAGGGGATTCTTCGGTAGCCCAGAACTGAGCAGCAGCTCGGGCCTAAGGCGTATACTCGCAGCCAGCCTCCAGGAGTGAAGTAGCGTAGGAGGTTATAGTGGAGTATTGATTTGTTGTCGTCTAGTTAAAGCCAAAAAGATGTCATGCGACTTTGAGACCGTAACTTTGAAGAGTTCCCGGGGCAGTCGGCCCCGGGAAATAGGCCTTTTAAGAATTTAGCTAGCTCTGTACGAGCTCCAAAAAGCTAACTTGGCAACTGTTGCCATTGAAGTGATCAAGAACTATTTGAGCGAGGCTATTTATACCTGAAGACGAACTCAAATTTAGAAGTAAACGATTTCAAATTAGAACCCTAAAAATTCAAAAAGTACAGAGTTTTAATGCCTAAAACTGACAAACAATGAGTCAATTTTCATGAAGAGTATCAAATATAACCATAGCAACGAAGAAAAACTTTGATGTCAATTATGTCAAAACAATTAAAATTAGCGATAATTTGTGTTATAATATATAAATAAGTACTTAAATATGATTAGAATTCGTAAAATGTATAACGAAAAACTATGAAAGCTACAGGTAAGGGTTCACATTAGTGTAAATAGTAAAAAACATAGGATGAAAGTTCGTAGAGATTTGGATAAGTTTATATTACAAAATTTTAATGGTTACAGGTATAAAATTGAAGGTCCACAGTTATAGAATGGATCAAGTAAAGAATATAAATGGAAAATACTAAAAAGTTTATCGATATGAGTGAAATGAATGATATAAATCTAAGGAATGAAAACGATACGAAAGGTTAGTTACGACATTTCCCCCACAACCCCAGAAAAATTTTAGACTAGGGAAATTTTTTAAGGATTGTCTAAAGAAACCTGAGGACACTACTTCACACAAGCATACAACCATTCAAAATGATACATATTCCTCATCTAACATGCTATCCTTTCATTCTGTTTAGGGTGGAGTTCACATTCAATGACTGCCACTCTAGAAGTGTGATCCAATATGACTAATAAGGCTTATTTAAGGAGTTGTCAACCGCTCCATATATGGAAAAAAAATAGTAATCTAGGCTTATTTAAGGAGTAATCAACCGCTCCAACCTAAGGCTTATTTAATGAGTAGTCAACCGCTCAGACCTAAGGCTTATTTAACGAGTAGTCAGCCGCTCAAGAAATAGTAAGACTATTAAGGTAGTCTTGGTTAAGAGTATAAAACAAGTAAAGACACAAGAAGCCTTTAAGTTAAGGAGAGCGTTTAGAGCGCCCTAAAGTAAAAAAAATATATAAAAGATGAAGAAGTTATCTTCAAAGGATGCCAATTGAATAATTGGATCACCTAAGAGGAAATATCGTAACAAACAAATGAATGATAAAATAAAATGAGCAAATGATTATGAAGTAATGTTTTTGATGAAGTATAAATTTAAATCTTGATATCTTTGATATGCCATTTGCCTTTAATACCATTTCTATCCTCAAGTATATAAACCAAAGGAGAGATCTTTTTAATAACTTTACATTTAACAAATTTAGGGGCGAGTTTGGTGCTAAAATAAGCTCCTGCATTGCTTAGAACATAATTCTTTCGCCATACTGTATCTCCAACATTAAATTCTTTATATGATCGACGGAGATCATACCGAGCGCTGTTTTTGGCATGTGCGAGATATAAGGTAGTTTGAACTTTATCAAAAATAGCAGAGAGGAATCCAGCATTTTCA